CTTGTTTTTCAGTCGAACTCCTGATCCCCAGTCGTCAGGTCCCTTAACATGTGATGTTCATTTCAAATGTCATTTCAGACTCAAGTCAGCAGGTGGCTGATACAGACTATGGTACATGCCCCGATGTGTACGAGAATCATGTACAGCACCTATCTCCTATTGCCACTAATGAAAGAGCTTCTCAGCCAGCAGCTCGAGGTGCTTGCCTGAGATGTGGATATCAACACCTTCCTCGACTAGTCTTGGTGGATTGCTTACTTGGCTGGATGGATGTCCGCCAAAGTGATTGCTGCGCAAATGAATTAGCGGAAAGATGCTCCAGTAGTTACTGCTGAATTCCCATGCGGACGATGTGCAGCAAGCTGTCGTCGGCCGCGGAGTTGAGCTTGAAGAATAGCGACTGCGCCCACGAGTGACGGCGCCGGCACTAAGTAATCGCCGCCCCCTCATCATCGCTGCCCGTGTATATGTCGGCCCGTGTGCTTGCTACCGTGGGTCCGTGACTGACCCAGTGCCTTGGGCAGAAGTGATTAGAAGACGAAGGTGTCGGCGCAGGGGGCACGCACAGGTCGTCGCTGCACCCACGCTACCCCGCTAGACGCCTCCATCGTGCCTCTGCTCTGGTCACCACCCGCTCGTCGTTGTCATCCGTGTGCGTGTCGCCTGTGTACTTTACCTTTACAGTATTCAGTCGTATCATATCTTCTGGGTCGCAACGTAGTCCAGTCAGCAGGCGTGGTTGCACCGCGCCACTAAGCTGCCCGGACCCCACAGAATCGCTCTGGCTAAACAAGACCGAGCCTTATTCCTGCCACCGATCGCATGGTGCATGCCAACGCGGGTCCAGTTTCATACCCGACGAACAAAGGATTGGGTGCGCACTAGCAGCGCCAAGTCAAGTTGAATTACAGTGAGTCCTACGCGCATATGTGAAGAGGTAGCCGATGTATTGATCAGAACCTCAGGTATGACGCCACGATGGCTGCAGCAAGAGGACAGAAACATTCTTGCACGGATATTGCGCGGCTGGCATAGCGAACAAAAGCTCCGACGAATTTCGACGGGCGTCTAGCATGCGTCCTTTCTCAAATTCTCAGATTAGACCGTTGCCACTGCACTCGGCCAGTAAGTACGGTGCACTGGAAGTAACAGTAGCCAATATACACGATCTACACGATCTTGTTTGCTGCTGAAACTGTCTGTAGCTTTGTGCGCCATCGAGATTATGAGCGGAGCCCCCTATCGGCTCCTGCGCATTTTGGATTAGCTTGGACCTCCCTTCTCTTCCAACGCCCAGCATCGACATTGTCCGCGCGGCCACATGCCGTCTAACCTCCCGTTGTAAGATCCACGCCCTTCGTGCGTATACAGCGCAACTGGAACCCACAGTGACGCACCTCGCACCCTTTTCCAATCCTATCCCCCTCTCCCTCCTTATCACTGCCTTCCGCCATCGCCAGCCACTAATTTACACCATGTCGGGTATTAAGCCTCCATTCACTGCTGCCACTGCGCTCCAGAAGGTCAAAGCCGCGCAGAATCTGTGGAACACGCGCGACCCCGCCAGTGTCGTGCAGGCATACGCAGTGCGTTCAGCTGTCCTTAATCAACTGGAGCACACCAAGACTTTTTTAACGTGTTACGCAGCTCGACACGATCTGGCGCAACCGGGACCAGTTCATCCGACGCGGGCGTGACGAGGCGGCTGCGTTCCTCACAAAGAAGTGGACATACGAGGGCGACTACCGCCTTCGCAAGGAGTTCTTCGCCTTCACAGACAACAAAATCGCCGTCTAGGTGCGTCGGGCGCGTTCGGTCCACGCCGTTTGTGTTCACTCCACTCCCCGGCGGCTCTTCTACGAATGAAGCGCGGACCAGGGGAACGGCCAGAGGCAGTGGTGTCGGACATACAGGCTTGAGATGCGTCGCTCTCTTTGAATCTTATCTCGCTTCCTCCCCTCCGCCTGCTCATGCATCACTTCCCCGCTAGGACTGGACGTTCGCCAACGAACTCATGCGCAAGCGCCACAAACGTTCACCGAGGACGTTGCCGACGTCGATTCTGTTGAGATCTGAGAAACACTTCTGACACACTGCCCCGCTGCTGTTTATAAGATACGATATGATATGGCATGACATGACATGATACTTGCCGACATTCTCCTGTATTCACTTGTGTACAGTAGAGTATTTATTTCTCATTTGTATATAGTCTTATATTCATCGTTCTCACACGACATGCTAAACTTCGCAACAACAGTTTTCTCGCGATGCGACGGGAAGACTCGGACAGTGAATGGGATAAACCTTTCTGCCCATACAAAATGGGCTTTTTCCACACAAACAATAATACTAATTTCTTGTGATTTAAATTTAGAGGTCTGTTCGCCGTCCTTACTGAACTGTAGACATGCTCTTCTCTTTACCTATTCACATCTGGTGGGCGCGCCCAACCCGCCGCATTCTCAGTCCGGCCGGCACCCGTGCTTTTTCAATATGTCTACAAGCCCACCTCTCAACACCCTGCGCTGATATACATAACTGATCGCCGTGATCTGCCATGCTACTGTGCGTATCTTCAGGAGCTCTTGAAGGGGGAAGCCAAGGGGGACCCGGGCAATATGTTGGAGGTTAGTCAGATTTTCAGGAACACGTTGTCAGACTGGGCCACAGGTTGTCGGAACATGCGTTCACGTTGAGGTATAGGTCATGCAGGACTGTTACATGCAGTAACTCTGCCCCATTGCTGCAATCTTTCTGTCTGCCTAAGAATATCACCTCACACCTACGTTTCTCAAGAGCCTCCAAAACGTCAACTTCTTTTCTAATTATTGAAAGAATGCTGGCTTAGTCAGGGGATTCGTTGCTGCCGTTCTGCCTCAGTTATCTGCATTCGTCGAATTCAAGAGCACAGCCGACAAATACCAAGAACGTAGCTCCTAGAGTTCCGTCCTTGTCTACTCCATTTGACGTGGGTCCCTACCTCCGAAGAGTCGCCCGGGTCCTACCTCCTCTCGAAGACTCGCTCAATTGAGGCTGTACTGAGCTTCTCTACATGCGAGTATGCAGACTGCGGTACTTGGCCTGATTCACCTCAAAACGTTGCGATAAGACCCTTGATAGCATCTATCACCATCTGATAACTGTGATTCTGCAACTCTAGGTCCGGAAATGTGCAGCACTATATAATCCCCGCAGTGCGAGGCCTGTCTCATCACCTCGACCAGCTCTCTCGTCCCCGATTGCAGCTGTTCAGTGCCTCTTTCTCTCACTCCTTACCAATGGCTCCCAACCCGTCGTGCTCTGCTCTCGCCGCTGCGAAGGATAAGAAGGGTGAGCTGATCATCATACCACATCCTGATCGCGACCTTGCTGAACAGCCTCTCTCCCGCGGTCCTCCTTCTCGTCGGATGAAATTCTTCCCACCAGGTCTTTCCTACTCCCAGATCGCTTCCCAAATCGGCGTCTCAGAGCAGCGTGTCATTGACAGTGCGTATCCGTTCACCTCGATCCACGCCGAGAACAATGTCAGCATCGTGTTGATCGGCCTTATTCGTTCGTGTAGTCTGCACCGGGAGCTCCGCCGCGACCACAGCGGAGTTCGATTCGCTCGCGAAAGTGCTCGACATCAAGTCTCAGGTATGTTGGCTCTCATCCGTCGACGGCAGTCTTGTCTGCACTATGTCATTCTCTCGTACTGACTGGGCGCGGTACAGGTTCCTCAGGATGCGGCTCACACCCGGGCTTGAGTCCACGGCGGCGCCTTGATGTGAATGTATTATATATCTCATTTGTACAACAGCGCACTCTGTTCTATCATTTATAATAAGTTTGACAAGTCCCCAGGGTCCACTGCCACAAGCCCTTCGTGATGGTGGGCGCAATTACTTGTGTGAATTGCGCGCAAATTTCGAAGCTTGCCTTATGTTTCATGTCATAATCAGCATCCAGGGCTCTTAGCGTTATAACTGTCAGCGTTGTAAGCTGGTAGTGAGGATCGGTTCATGCACTGCAAGAGCCTGACAAGGTCTGAAGATCTGACAAGTTGCAGCGGCTAGCCGTAATACTATTAGTAATACAGCCATTATAATGGATCCGGAGATGCTGTCACATGACAGAGAATGGACGCCTCCGCGGCTCAGTGCCAACACCATTCACACCCCCCAATTTCTTACGTTCGTGTTCTCGTTTGGTCGTGTAGAGTTGAAGCTTCTAGGGTTGTTCGAAGGCTGGCGACAATCATCTGCAAAAACTTTGTGAAGCATCGATATTTAGACGCTCTAGTCTGCTACTGGCGAATTCCGATCTCATGCCTGCCTCGTATGCTCTCGAACTGACCTGACGGACCGCACGATACTAGCGATACCACAATTTCGCTACTTCTGTGAGATATGCCAGAAAAGACATTACCCATGGAGCTCCTCTGTGAGATCATTTGTTGCTATATGCGAAGTCTCCCGCCCAAGTACGAGCGAAACGCGTTCAACGTTGCTTCAAAGCCCGAATGGATGTTCGTGGAGCCTCTATCGTTAGCTTCGTGGACTATACGCACGCTTGTCATGAAGGCTTGGTTTGAAACCTATATTGCGGACTCTCCGAGTGACTTACTCGATATCGAGATATTTCCTCGGGTTTCTATCTGGACAAGGTGTGCCCTTTCCTCCACTTGCTTTCATAGCGGCTTCATATTCAACATTTTAAAGGAAAGTGCATTGTAACGAACCTCGTCGGAATTTGCATTTGTATGATACCCCCCTTACATGGAATTTGCGCAAATTCTGGCGCGTGAGTCAGGTCCGACTGGACTCAAACCCAATTCACGTCCTCCCTTTCTCGTTCCACGGGAACGTCGCGTCGCTGCGAGAATTTGAGGTGGTCGAGCATTCTTGGCCTTCGGTCATGCACATGCGCAAGATTGCTGAGATACTGCCGCAATTGCGCATTCTCAGGCTTTCGCAGAGTACAACCTGGTGCAGCGCCTGTAATACATGCGAAACTCCATCCTTCAGCGAAGCCCCGCCTTCGCCGATTGTATACAACGATGCAATCGGACTTCCGGTGAGAGCATTGTCAACTCGCGCTCCCGCTGCTGACCGCTTGGTGCATGAAAGGTGTTATATCGTCAAATTTGGGCATCTCTGCGGCATCTCCATACCGTGGTGCTTACTGTAGGCTACCACAAAGGCGGAAAGACGCGTCTTGAAGCCAAAAATGAGATTCTATGGAATGGAGAGTGTGACTCTTGCTTGTGTCTTTTGTACGCCGATAGCGAATACTTCGCACAGACGGTGGCGAAGAAAAAACATGCGGCTCGGCCTCCGTCGCTACGAAGAGTAGAATGGCGATTCGTGGAAGTTGATATTCCGAGCAGGATCGAATGGCCGGTTGGAGAGGCGGATCCGCCGGATTAGGTGCGAAATCAGCTTCCGCATATCATCCACCCTGGCATTCATCCACGGTAAAGCAGATTGAGAGATGCTGAGGGAGAAAAGGAAGACGAGACGGAAAATTCGGTGAATCCTAGTGTGTACGTTGATGTTCGTGATGTCATCATTATCAGCACGACAGATTGTCACGGATTGTTGTGCCTTGACAAATGACATTATGGACCACGGCTAAGATATGCCAGGGCGTCGAGCTCCGCTCTTGATTGAGGTGTCAGACGTGGGTAGTAGCGGCTTGTATATAACTTCCATGCTTTTGGTGCGGGGTGTGCATTCCCCAGCCTTCAATGTCGCTGGTCTCGACGTACATTGCGCCCACGGTGGGGGCAGCGTTCATAGGTAAGCTAGCGTGTTTTACTCTCGATGATGTTCTAATTATGACTTGACACAGGAGCTACAGTGGCAGCTATGTGTGTCAATACTTTGACGTCAGTTTAAGACAGACTTACTCTGCGCATAGGCTCTTTGGGGTTACAACTGTGCAAACTATACTTTACTTCAAGCGTTATAGTAACGACCCTGTGTTGACACGACGTCTCGTACGTAGCGCCGATGAGAATCCATATTGGCTGATCCTTAGCGCATACTAGATTTTCGTCCTGTGGTGTGTTGTATCAACATGTAGGCGTTGTGCTGCGGTTGATCAATTTCTAGGTTACTCGACGCGACTCATTTGATATTTATCGTTCATGGCATCTATACATATACGATCATGGGAGATACGGACGTTTCTATACTGTTTGAACCGGCGTGGTAACTGCTACTATGTACTAACCATGTTATGTGTTCTTGCTGACTTTCCCTTCTCAGGAGCTTTACGGTGAGTTTTCATGAAGAGGATCATGGTTCAGCTGAAATGATTTGTTCTCGCACAGTCCCATGTTCTCATCTCGGTATGTACAGCCGCACACCATCTATGTCAAGACACGCTAACACTCATCAGAGTCTAAGTGATTTGACTGTTAGAGGGTGAGCTGAGCAGGGAATGTTAGAGTTCCACTAATGGGTCTAGCAGATTGTTTTGTATCCGGATTTGGAAATGTGAGTGAATGTGCAAGCCCGTGCAAATGGTTTTGAAACCAAAAATCACACGTTGCAGTAAGCCAAAGGAAGTGGTGGACGATGATATCCATTGTCAGTGTCTTCTTGTCTCTGGATGAGAGATGCTCACGCAACGTCTACTTATACGTCTTATCAGTGTTCGGTGTCTTTGGCGTCATTCGGTAAGTAAGCGCCGTATGCATCAACTGTCAGGTCATTGATTATTTCATTTACACCGACCGCAGCTACTGCTGTATGTACGTGTTGCCATCGGTTCGCTGTGATCACACGCTGAACAGCCGCGTACTTTACTAGCGTTCTCAATATGGGGGTAAGTGTACAAACCTCCGAGTCAGATATGTTCTCATGTTCGTAGATTGTGCGTCGGAAACTACTTTTTCATGCCTGGCCAGCTCTCGGTTAGTATAGTAAGTTTCCTGCGTCCAACATAATACTTTAACGCTACCGTAGATCTTCCTATACACCTGCTTTATCTCCGGAGTTTTAGCAGATGCCCTCATTGCTACACTTCTCTGCACTTTCCTGTCACGCCGGCGTACTGGGTTCTCGCGGTATGCCGTCGTTCCACAATGTCCATCATCGGACCTGAACTCATGTCTTCTGAAGAACCGACTCTCTCGTTCGCACACTTATGATTTACAGCATCAACACAGGAGTCCTCACCAGGTACGGGATGCTCGTTTGACGGCATAACGCAGTGTCTGATTTTTCAACAGCATCTGTGCACTCTTGTGTCTACTACTGGTATGTTTCTCTGACGCCATCACTTGTGTCCGCACGCTATATAAATGTTCTCGTAAATACTCCAGTACGCGCTTCAACAAGGAGTGAACAGATTCTCCTTCGTCGCTGCATATCTCATCTTGCCTAAGCGTAAGTCAGTCGTCGCTTGTGCTGTGCTTAAACTAAGTTCGAAACATAGTGTTATTGAATGCACTCCTAGCTAGCCTCAACGCGAGACGCACAACTCCGGAGAAAACGAACGTAGAAATAATGAGGGTTATGAAAAACAGAAATCTCGATACTGCGCCCACAGCCGTGGATGAACTCTATGAGGAAGATGAATCGCGTAACGCCAGTACCAGTATGTTTTCTCTCCGTTTTCTGGGAGTATACTAATGTTCGCGACCTTAGAGCATGCGCTGGTAATACACATTCATGCTGAGGCATGCTGATTGGAAATATGTGTCGGATGCGCTGCCTGTATTACCCGCCTGCATGCTGTGGAATCAGAAATTGGTTCTGCTAGATCATCTGCATAAACATGGACTCAGATAGACCCGAATTATGAGCTATCGCCTAGTGGCTCAGCCAGCGCTTGAGGTCTGTATGTGTTTGCCATCCCCCAAGTCGATAGCTACGTTTTTGGCGACATGACTTGGCCTACCAACTTTCACGCGCAGATTTTGTTCTATACGCACTTTGGTAATTCCCGATATGCTCATTATGGTACTCACCATCCACCTATGGCCGGCGCCACCACTCAGTCCCTCAGCTGAGAAACCTCTGAATCCCAACCAACCATCGGCTGACAATGAGTAAGCCAAGAATGGACCATGCTAAGAAGCCGATGAGATCGTGCAGCTCACTCGCAGGAGAACTCTATTCAGAAGTCACTTCCGAGATCCCGTCGTCTTCTTTGTTCGATGCTAATACATAATCAGTCGCAAGACGATATAGAGTTTACTTTGCTTTCGGTGCGGCATGGACACTTCGAGAACAAGAGGCTGGAAAACGTCTGGTGACTGATGGAGATAAGCGGTACAAGTGTCTACGTTTTCTTATTCCATCGAACCGTGCCTCGTCTCTTTGTTAGTTCTACAGATACCGAACCCTAGTTGCAGAAAAACCCCGTGAAGATAGTAGTTCAGACAGATAGCATCTATGCTCGCTCTCTCTAGTTCTGGCGACGTTGCCGTCGTCGTGCTCCGTCCTCCGCGTACTAGCGAAGACGAAGTGGCCCTGATTGATCGAGGCATCCGCTTTCCGCATCCCATCACTGGAGCCAGACGTGTACTGTCGTAGGTTTTGGTACCAGTCACGTCAGAGGCGATTGTATGAAATTGAGTATGACGAATCAACTATTGTCAGGTTGGTTGCAGGGAAAATGAAGGGTATACTGCAGAATGAAATTCGACAGGATGCAGTTCAACAGAAACATTTTCCTTTGTTGCTGGATACCATCCAAATGTGAGTCAAGTGCCGCTCATGCCGTATCGGAACAATTTCAACGCACTGCTGTTGAACGTAATCAGAATGTAAGGCAGATAAGATGAATTAGCTTCTGATTTGGCGCACTGCGTAAAAAATTTCACAAGCATCAGTTGATGCCGCGCTTACAGTCGCGAATGGACTTGGAGAGATTGAGATGCGCCATGTCAGTGTCTGAGTCGGTGTTTGTAGTGTTCATCATGATGTATGTTTGAGGCGCGTAACCGACGATGCCACGAGGCTTTCTGGACCCTCAATCTGTGGGCAGTGCGTTGTGGTCAGATTGTAATGTTCACGCAAGAAACCCGGGGCGTTGTCTGACAGTGTCATTTACACGGAGAGCATGTACTATTATCGGTACTCGTCAACTGCACGTTGAATTGCTTCGGCATCATGACAGACTGATCATTTCCGCTACAGTCCGCTCAAGGATCAATGAAGTCAGTACGACTCTTCGCTGCGCCCTCTCCGCGCCTGTACAGTGTGGATGCGACACTTGCCATCTGTGAAGCTTGAAGGTCAAAATTCAAGTGAATTTTACAGTATTACGGTACATGACGCTGAAGCGAGACGTCGGTGCGGTTTAAGCTATTCGGGACCTTGACGACGTGGATATCCATGGGAACATTCTGCATGTCTGCCCCTGTGACGTTGTGCGACTTCGACTTGTCTTACTGATGATAGATTGTTGCTTTCGAGACCAGCGGTGCTCTACAAACATTGTCACGCAGGGATTCGCACAGCTCCTTGGGAATTTGTGCGTAGTTGTTGAATACTGCTACGAGCGTGGGTCGGGGATACATCACTTCTTCCTGATGCTTATACCACTGCGGAGTCCACGCGTGGGTAAATTTCCGTGTCGAACACAAGCTTCCGGTGAGGTTGCATTCCTCAGACGCAGTCCACAAATATGCTGAGGCTTGTTATTTCAACAGTCTTTATTGAGGCACTCTCCATCACCTGCCTGTGGGAGGTAGCTACGACGTACTTAATGCTTGCTGCGTGATGTACCGCCTGAGCACGCTCCTGCCCTTTGAGACCGTGCCCCACAGTTCATAATGTTCAGCTCTAATTATGAGTATCCGCGTAATTTGAATGCCACTGTGGGCGCGTCGTTCATAGGTAAGCTGGCTTCATTGCTTTTGTCATGGCTCTTTTCTGACAGAGTATTAGGGACAACTATGGGAGCTATGCAAGTACTATTACAAACATTTAGTGATATCCTAAATTTACAAGCCTTGTAGGATTTATGGTATTACTACTGTTCAGACACTCCTTTATTTCAGACGTTACGGAAACGATTCGGTGGCATCAAGAATGCTGGTGAGTACCATTTTCTCTCGGACACCATTCTACTCGCTTACAGACTCTTAGATCCTAATGTTGTGGTGCGCAAGGCATTGTGAATCTAAACAAATAATTTAATAAATGTCGTTGTCATAGGATCCTTGACACAGTCCATCTAATTTTCATAGTGCATACGGTCTATAGCTATGCAGTGCTGGCTCTGGCGAATATTGACATACTTGAACACCCTCTATGGTGATCATTTCTGCAATTCATGGTGGTAAATTCTCCCGATACTGAATGTCTCATTTTATTAGGTGTATTACTGTAAGTGTTGGCCGCTCAGCTTTACCAAATCAGTAATCTAAGCTTTTGTAGTCCCACGTTCTCATATCGGTAAGTTGAATATGGTCCTGTTCATGTTCCCGATAACTCAAGATTTATAGAGTATCAGTGATCTCTGCGTGCGAGGGCAAGTCATCACATTGCTGCGATGTATCAAGTAAATCTTATTCATGAATAGGCTATTTTGTGTCAGAATTTGGAAGTGTGAGTCGCGGAGTATTATACGGATTCAACGCACACGATGTGACATCGCGCCACAGTAAGCCAGAAGAGTTGGTGGATGATGATTTCTGTTGTGAGTCGCTTCGTCGAAGCCAAATCACAAAAACAATGCCCGAGCTAAGGCCATTCTCAGTGCACCCCATCCCTTCTCGCATTTGGTAGGCAGTTCGGTGATGTTTGAATCTGAATCTAAAGCAAGTTGACAATATCACTGTGTTATTTGATAGCTAGTGGTTGGGGTATATGCTTTCATGTCGTCGCATTGATCACCGAATGACCTCTTGTTTCTCAGGGTTCTCGATATGGGGGTACGCGAATAATTGCCACATTGAGAGACGTATAACAAAACAAGATACAGGTTTAATGCAGACAACTATTTTTTCAAGCCCCTCCAATTATCAGTAAGTAATATTTCTACAATTTCAGAAAACCAGGACGTAACAGTGTCCACAGCAATTCCTGTGCATTAATTTTGCCTCTAGTCTTTCCGCGGATGCACTTATCGCTTTGTACTCTTGTATACTTCTGTCACGGCAACGGACAGGGTCCAATACATGGTATGCTATTCACTGATATGTTTGCATCTTTTACTGAGTCCCAGGTGGTTGGTACGGCAATAGGACCGACTCTATAATTCGCTTGCTCATGCTCTATAGCGTGAACACGGGTGTTCTTACTAGGTGTGATATATTCAATCTCTGATCATGGACTTACAAAGATCTGAGCGCAACACAGTCTCTGTGCGCTGCTATGTCTAGTACTGGTGCGATCTCCTTGAAAAGTGGTATTCTTACTCGCCGCACCTCCTAATGAGACCTACTAGTATGTAGTTCTGCCTGAAACTTTCAAGTTCGCCTTTGTCGCCATATACTTTGTATTGCCTAAGCGTGAGCATACCAGCTTTACGTTGTATACGTAAACATAGCTTACATCCTGGAATTATAGTGCTATTGAACTCTCTTTTGGCGAGTCTCAATGCGAGGAAGTCGATACACGGGAAGATGAAATTCACGTCTGCCATGTATCCAAAGTATGAGGATGGGAACCCTCAGGAGTGCAAAAGCGACGGCGTTAGTTGGCCGCCTACCCGAGTTATACTCATATAGCCTTCTGACAAAGTTTCTTGCAGGCTGTCCAGATTCAAGTGGAGACTATAACAGAAGTAGTGATTGAGGTGAGTTTCCAGAATTTCATCTAGCCACTCCTGCATATCGCAATCGTATTCTCGTATAGGGTGAAGATGACCTGGTCAGTAGTCCCGTCAAGGGAAACTGTGTCCCAGCGTATTTCCCGGAATGGCGTATCTGAATGGGACTCGCCTGAGGGAACACCGCCGCTGTGCCACATCGCGCTCCATTCAATACCTTTCGAACGATAGTTTCTCGAAGCGTTGTTATCAGTTTATCCACAGTCGATAAATTATTAGTCTCCAACAGAACAATTAGGTCTAGGCACGCCGCGGCGATTTATGCATGTGAATTCACAAAACTGATGAACATTTTACGCGATGTACAATAGTTGTAAGTTGACTGTCGCCAGCCCGCACGCGTCCAATGGTTCAACATCATCAACTTGTTCAAGTAATCACTGCCAACTGGCATCCACCGGCAACATGCTTTCGGCTCTTTCCGATGGCTGATCCGTGTTCAGTGCCGTTCGGTGGCACTTTGGTTGAACCTCATACTACTAAGTAGTAGCAGCTGTATAACTTGTTGTCACGGCTTTCACCTCGGTCATAATCCTCGCTGACGTGTCAGACCTCAGATTACGGGCCAGAGGCGTTTAGATATTGACGTAGACAGAGGAACTCGATGAGTGGCCAACGTAGCTATCGGAGTTAGTCAGCGGTTGGCCCGTTGACGATTGCAGAAGCTCTACGGCTGGATTGTCGACTAATATACTTGCCATTTTGTTCTCCCAGGGACTCCTGATCCCGCCGAGTACTTAAGTTCTGTCACAGTATGTGATCCCATCTCAATGTCCACATTGGATGGAAGTGCTGATCAGATTTCGCAAGGACATTTTAACGACGAGGGACAGACATCGATATCTCCACTGGTCATGTTTTAATGGCACTACGAGATTCTACGAATCCACATCACTGCCAGCACATCGTCCTACCGAGTGCGGATGTGAGTGAATGGTCATAGATTCGCGAATGTTAATACCGTTACGTGTGGTTAATCATTCCTCAAGGTGGTCTGATACACAGAGAACCACATCAATGGACTTTGTCAAGGCCTTTCTCAGACTTTGCCGAGATGATTGACTGACCACCCGGAGACATCTCCGAATCATGAGGTGCCTGTCAGTCGACCACAGGGGCTATTATTGCACACATAAATGAACCTGATGCTACCCTCTTCTCCTATCTGGCTGAGTTGGTGTGCTCGCTTTGAAAAAATTGCAAAATAGCTCATGTTACTTCGGAGGAGGACGCGCCAAACTACAGTCTTGGTCGTGAAATACGGAGTTGAAGATCTTATTCCGCCGTGGGTTCCATACCATATCGATAAAACATCTCAACCGTTGGAAGAGTGGTCCACACTGGCATTACTTCGGAGATAGCTCTCGCAAAAATCAAAGGACTCCCTGTTCCTTCGCCTGCCACTCCCGCTCTATTATATTGACGGACCAGATTTACACGAACGTGCTGGACTTCCACGATGTGCCCTCAGCAAGTGTGCTCACCAGAATATGTCGGCTGTATATGCAGGACGCGATTGACGGCATCGATGGTCAATAAACGGCCATGGCGGTGAGGTTTCTGTATCATGTTTTGGATTGGAATGCTGATGGGTTCTTCAGAATATGGTAAGAGTTGGCCTGTAACGTGCCAGAGAAGCCGTGGTTCACGCGCTGTACCATTCTCATCGTGCTCAATATGCCAATCCCGGATCTTGTTCGCCTTGGGAACCTCTGGAAACACAAGGCGTTCGCTTAGTATTCGATTAGTTACTCTCTCTTCAGGCAGCTGTGCGAAGGCGACCGTCAGTCCCATGGATTTATATATATAATGTGACCCTACGTCGCGATAGCATACGTAGGAGCACCCGTTGCATCGAGGTCTTCAGACATCGCGGTTGATTACGTCGTACCTTCCGTGATGGAGCTGTTCAATGACCAGGTTGCATTGAGTTCTGCTTACCTTGGTAAGCTAGATGCGACAATTTTCCTACAAGTTAGCTTACATACTGAGCAGGCGTAGTTGCCTCCTCCATGTGAGTATTACGCTATGCGTAATCGATGGTCAAAATGACGCTTGCGACAGTCTGTATGGTTTCAATAATATGCAAACATTCATCTACTATAGACAGACCAACGATAAGCTTATCATGAAGAGCGTGGTGAGTTAGCTACTTATTCATTCACTACCCTCCTCGCTGAATCTACTGACTATCGAATAGATCTTCGTTCTGTGGCGAGTGACATCTTTTATCGTTATTGTCATCGTTTATGCCCTTACGGACATTCTGTAGGATTCTCGATACTCTACATTTGGCGCTAATCGTGCAAGCAGTTTATGTTTACACTATCCTTAGCCTCAACAATCCTCTCCTACTGGTGGAGCCAATCTGGTGAGTACACCCGCTGAATACTATTGGAATGCTACTCATTGAAGCACATTCAGGAGTCTTACAGTATGTGGATCGGTTGCATCTATTTTAGTACCGAACTAAGTCGTTTGTAGGCACATTTTTTGATCACGGTGAGTTTGTGCAGGTAGAATCAGCTTTTCATAATGCTTGACGCAACGGATCTAGAGCATAGTTGGTACGACTGTCAGAGGGTAAGAGTGCGTTCTTATATGTAAGGATATGTCTGATCTGCGTCCGAAGCGCAGGTTATTCTCGTTTCGAATATGGACTTGTACGTATTCTCTCACATTCGTGTGCCTCGCTGAAACGTATACATAGTCAGCCAAAAGAATTGGTTCATGGTGGCAACTACCGTGAGTGATTGCTGTTGCGTGTCGGAAGCAGCAGGCTGAATGAGTATAGACTCTAAGCTCTACGGCTGCTCTGGGTATGTTTTCCTCATATCCTTCAAAAGCATGGCTGATCAGGACTGTGACTTAGCTAGTGGTTTGGGTATGTTTACGTCCATCTCTCTGCCCTCCGACTGACGTTAGAGTTCCTGAGAAGCCTTCTCAATCTGGGGGTAAGTGAGAATGCACTACTCGAGGGAAAAGCATGTAATTCAAGATATAGGTTCAAGACTCCCGATTACTTTTTCAAACCAGCAGAGTTCTCCGTAGGTATCTTGTAGCGACACGCAACGCCATCTTCTGAGACAACGTTCAATACAGTATTACCTCTATTTTGGGCTCGGATCAAGTGCTTTCGCGGACGTTCTTATCACCGCATTCTTGTGTGTTCTCCTATCTCGACACCGTACGGGAATTGCTAGGTACGTGGGATCACGCTGCAGATTAGTTGTTGAAGGCCGACGTGCCTCGTAGCACCAACTCGGTGATCAACCTGCTTATGCTCTATAGCATCAACACGGGCTTGCTGACTAGGTATAGTCTTCCCCGTCTGGAACTGATAGTGGACTAACCAATAGCAGTCTCTGCGCGCTTCTCGCCTTGCTATTAGTGAGTTTGGCATTACCAGTAATATACTCGATTCATCTAACGTGCTATCAGTTTGCGTGTCTGCCAAGTATCAATCTAAACAAGTTTGGTTTCATCGCGCCATTCTTCGTACTTCCAAAGCGTGAGCAGATCTCGTCTTCTCTGGAGCCTGCTATTGAGCCCTTATCTCTAGTTTTGTTCTCGTCGTTGCTTGCAAACCTCAACGCGCGCCCGTATCTTAGAGAGAGAGCGCATCCCGATACAGTATCACTCACGACGACGACTACGACGCGAAAACCTAGGATTTTGAGACTATATCGAGATGATTCTATTAGCCAGCCGAGTTCTAGTCGTCAGGTGCGTTGGCTCCTCGACTCCTAGGCTTTCTCCCTCAGCTTCAAGTACAGGTTTTCGACACCCCCGTGCCATCACCGACCGAAATGGAAATTTTTTCTATGCATCAATTTGTTGGCGTGAGTAAGAGATGTACATGGTCACTCTTCACAATGAGTCACTCAACTCGGTTGCAGAAAGAAATGAATCGATGGAAGCCGCTCCCGCGAGTGCACCAAACCGAATCTTCGACATGAAGTGCTGCGGCCAAGTTTGGTTTGATCAGAATGTACTGCTATCACAATAAATATTGCGACTTGATCTTTGTGGCGTTACTTAGTGGGAAGTGTTAGTACTAGAACGGCTTTGAGAGAGCCTCAGAGAAGAAACCCTTGTTCAGGTTCAGGAAACAAGAATTGTCAAAGTGAAAAGACGTAATAAAATATAGTAGGAAGCTTACCCATGAGCCATCTGCGCTGTGAAATTAAATCATATGTCCGACTCTACCGTGGATCGCTAGCTCTCAACTAATCAGCGACGTTAGGAACGAAGCAAAGTTTGCTGTTACAGAAAGGAGACAGCGTCGCATGTAGACACAGCTCTTGAAAGGCGTAAGGGGCTGTCGGACTAACAGCGGGAAGGTCGTGCAAGTGTTAGGATTTGTTCAGCAGCTATGAATGTAACGGGCGACCTTATTATATACGCGTGCGCTTGCAAGGACATCAGCAAAGAAGAAAAATATCGGGAGCATTGCGGCGGGGTTTTCAAGTTGAGAAGTGCAAGAATTTGAACAGAGGTCGAGCATTCGGAGCTGGCACTGTCATACACTGCAAAATCAGTAGCCGCCCGGCCCTGTGACGAAAAGTTTAGTTAACGTTAAGTACTAAGTAGCGGCAAAACACCTTCAACCGCCTTGATGCTTATTGCACCCTCCCTTGGACATCGAATCCAATCCTCCATGACCAGTTTCCAGCATTGCCTTTTCACATCTTTTGATTCAAACAGAGGCAGCAGAAACTAAAACTGAAAAAAAAAATAACTCATAAAGGTTCATCCCATTCATATCCTAGTTGGGTAGGGTGCCAGTCGATGCAAAGCAGCACAGGATGTTCGACACCGATCCGGAGTCTCCTTCTTCCTCATCGTCAATCATTTTCTTCATCCTCTTCCAGCAAAACTTGTAGGAGAAACTGCAGCACCGACAATATAGAATCAGGATGTTCCGGCAATCTTGCGTCCATGGTTTCTGTCTCATCGCTTCATGGCTTCGCTCCAATAAATCCCGTCGCTCTCACTCGGAGCCATGTACCATTCGAGTCCGCTGCGGCCTGCGGTTACATAGGAAGGTATCGAGGTGGAGGAGTGAACACAGAGGTGTTGAGGCGTCGAGGCGTCGAGGAGTACAGCGAGGTTGGCGACAGCGATTCGAGACGGGGACAAGCTGAGCATAGGGAATGACTTGAAAACTGGTGAGTTTATAGTGGATAGGCAGACTGAGAGAAACAGTCTCACGCGTCAGACTTCGGCGACTCGGGCTCGTACGCTGGCTCCGACTGGATGCTGGGCAACGATGAAGGCGCCGACGGAGATGCTTCTACTCTCAATTACTCTGGACTAGCAGCTTGGCCGCTGAACTATCTTCCACATTCGATCGAACTCTAACTTATTGCGATGCCTTTCGCGACTCCCGTATTTCTCTGCGACGATGGCCTTGCGAGGCTGCATTCTTGCCCCATCCTGTGCGTATAGTGTTCTCCAAGCACAGTTTAGTTCGATACGAGCGAGTTGCTAGATGATCGCTCATGGTACTGGATTACGCAGCTGTCATAGCTGTGACGCTCGCAAAGATGGCTATAATAACTAACTCCACTCGAAAGCTGGATGTATTGTACATCTAATTCACCTACTGTCTACACATGCAATCTCCTTCCGCGGACGTCTCTCGAGCGCGTAGCCCCCAGAATGTCCAGGCAGGTGTTCATACAGCTTTAGCTGGTGAGTGGTTCCTTCCTGTTGCATGTAGATTTATTGAGTACAGGATAGATGGGAATGGCCGACCGTCGTGCTGCGATACGTCCATCGCTAAGTGGACGCGAACGCAAATAGTTGATATCTGCCCTGTGGTTTTGAACCCACTTCCAAGACATCTATGGGAGCAGATCATTGATTTGGTCATGAACAGCAATCCTGACACACACGAGTATATTTACCTAGTGCTGCGCCCACTGAGCGAAGTATGTCGTGAATGGCATCCCCGATGTCTCCTTCATATTCGAAGTCGGGTTGCCGTGATGAACATGGGCAGAAAGCAGGTCTTTCACCTGATGCGTACTCTGGGGGAGCAGCCCGAGCGATGCTGTGCCATCAAAATGGTCTCATTCATTTGGGAATTAATGTCTGCCTGCATATTGTTTGCTGGTAACATGATGCAGAAGCTACCTGAAGTCGAGCTGCTGAGACTCTGGCAGTGCCACTGGGAGGCTGGGCAGCTACACAGCGAAATCTTCTTCCATGTGACTCTTACATTTGGGTGGTGACCATGCTCGATCTCTTCGTGGTGACATTCCCCTCTGTAGTCGCGTTTGAGCGGCTTGTTCGTGCGCTCCCCCACCTCTCCTCCCTCAAATGTGCGCATGGCCTTTCTTCGCTGCACTATTGGGTTTCCTAGCGAAGCGATGTATGTCATATCTGAAGCTTCCTAGCGGACGTACCTCTCGTCAAGGCTTCCAGCACTACATACTAGTGGACGGCTTCTGTGAGTAAATCCGCCCATCGTCCACTGGATCTGCATTCCAGAGTCATGTATATTGAGTGGGACTTACATTTACACTGATTTCTAGGTCTCCTGTCTCCATTGTTGTGCGTTGGTATGACAGTAACTGAGTATAGTGTGGGCCCCGCGGGCTGTGCCCGTATATCTGCCACATTTCCCACCACACCCCTCGCTGTTCATATTTGCACAGACATAGCCCCCTCATTACCACACCTACGTGTATTCTGGGCTTGAGCGCGGACTGGGCCTCACACCCCCTCAATATATATATACCTGGTGCAATATCTATAGGCTTGGAGATCATGAGTGCACAGACGGCGCGTTTCACTTTCGATTTTTTGTTGCCAATTACGTCCTATGTAGATTTCATTCTCCTACTGATATTTCTACAGCTCGCTAGCTTTTAACTGAAAGCACTCCATGCAGTATATGTTTTCCATCTTGTTTCTTGTCCATTCCCTGGGGTTTCCTCTCTCGTGGTTGTCAGGTCTCGCCCATCTCGTTCTTCACCATTGTTTATCTTACATCCTTCATCATGCAACCCCCTCCCCTCCTTCGTTCTTGTCGACATGACGCACACCCTCCCCACCCTCTGTAATGACGTCATATCGCTACGTCCAGGCGCGACCTCAACATCCGCTCACACCCTCTCCTCGTTGTACATAGATTGCGAAGTCGTCACTACACTCAACGTCTCGTGCAAATGTTCGGCGCTGTCGCTGTAGGTGCGCGAGGGTGGAAAATGGTGGCCTTGTTGATACCCATGTCGGGCGAGGCCTCCTTGGTGCAGGCGTAACGCAGATGACTACGCTGTTGTTGTCTCTGCTGAAAAACTGGAATTTGTTTCCGTTTCTGATGCTCGCATCGCACATAATCTCAGTGCAGGTCCGAAAGAAAGGAAATGGTCAAGTGCTGTACAATGGTAAAAATATAGGATATACATATCATTCATGCTAGTGCGACTCACTTGCAGGGTCCGGCTCCGACCATTCAAGGCTAGAAACATGTTTCAAACCCTCTTCCCCCGATAAAAGCCACTGCGTTTCTCCAAGACAAGGTCACAACTACATCAGGAACGGAGACGAGCAAAAATGTAGCTCGTCGGTTTCTATGCCTTCCGCGTAAGCTTGCCGAAGGCAGTTGCGAACGGCATGTTGCACATATGTATTACACTAGGGTCGATTCGGCAAGGCGAAGATGCCCGCCAAGTCAATCTTCATCCTACGCTCACGCTTCGAGCGCTGCGGATCTAGAAACATCATGCATCATGACATCAAGGCTTTCACGTGTCGAATAAAGACGTTCGGCTGCAAGCCGAGTGGCATGGCTTAACTTAGGAGGCACCGTCCCGCTGAATAGAACGTCTCGCGTATAAGTATTCGCGGTGTGTTGGTAGTAATCGTCCGACGTCTTGTCATGTGGTCACCTTTGCTCGTACCAGCCCAGGAGAACACAACATCTATTCCGACACAATATTCAGGAGGATCAAGACCAATTTGTGAGTGTGTACTCGGCTCTACTTTTCTAGGTGAGGTTACCACGGCCACTTCAAATATATAGACTGATGACGTGGTAGGGGTTACATTTGCGTCCATGTGCGCGTTGACTGCTACTTAATAATCATACCAACTTTAACACCTAAACTGTTCTACAGATTGTTCGGTATCAACAGCCTTCAAGTTCTTGTATATCGTGGGAAGAGTAAATCGGACACAGTCCTTTTAAAGAGTTTAGTGAGCTCGCCTATTTTGTTCATACAATGCACGGATTGACAACCGATTGGTTTGTATTGCTTCTAGATCGGTTTTCTATGGTAAGTTCTAGGGAATACTGTCATCTCGTGGTCTTCGCACGCTTGCTGTCAGGATCCTGGACTTTGTCGATCTGGTTCTTCTTGCACAAATCATCTATCAGCGTACTATCACTGCACATGCGATTTTAGAGGTGGCCAAACAGCCTGCATGGTAAGCTTTCAGGTCGTTCTGCCGCGCATAACCAATTTCACAATGATATATTTTAGGAACATGACTGTGAATTCACCTCTGAATGCACACTTCCTGCTTGCCGTGAGTCATCTTTTCATATTCTGTATTATTTTGATATAAAGCCGTCTGGTCAGTCTTTGATCGAGGGGATCGTAAGAGGGTTTGTTCGGAATGCCATACAACGGCTCGAAGCCTGATTTGCTATATCATACAGGCTTTTATGTTGGAGAATATGGATTTGTGAGTGGTTAACAAGCTCAGACAGTTTCGAAATTGACTCGGATCAGTCAGCGGAAGAAATAAATTTATGGTTTCCGCAGTGGTATGTCATCTACTCATTTGGTTTCTTGATCACAGCGATTCAATCGTTCTTATAGGTTTTTAGTTCTATCAGCGCTTTTGGTATGGCAGACCCATTATTCTCATGTATCCGCTCACATAATCGACACCTACTCGTGGAGGTATTGCATGGGGTACGAACAACCATGCTCCCTCATTATAGCTGACCTTTTTACTCGAATTCAATAGGGATCTCCGTCTGGGGGTTGGTCTCTGTATCAGAGAGTAGACTGCCATAATGTCTGATCTCAATCTATTTTAGGTTCCTCACTCCCGACAACTTGTTTCGGTTTACAGATACCTCCGTGAGTGTGCTACAGTTCCTGCCAAATTTGCATTATTCATTCGAGGATTTATTCAGTACCTCGTATGTGCGAGCTTCGGATCGGTGATTGCAGCAGACACATTCATCGCCGTCTTCCTATGCTTTCTGTTAGCTCAAAGTCGCACGGGATTCCCGAGGTGAATATTTACTTTGAATGTTTGAAATAACGCAGCGGTTAACTCTTCATATCTCAAGGACGGATGCGTTGATTCGTATACTCATGCTTTATAGTATCAACACAGGCGTGTTGACAAGGTAAATGTGTCGTGGTGCTATATATACCTACTGACACCATATTAGTCTCTGCGCCACCGCTTCCTTACTTATGGTCTGATTCGTTTCTTGCAATACTTCGCTCATTGTTTTGAACGACTTGTTTTAAGTATGTACTCCTGAAGGGTGCACACAAGGCCATGTTTTTGGGTGTTTCGTTTATTTTGTGCAAGCGTGAGTGAGGTTTGATTGCGCGCAATCATTGATAATGTTAACCGTGATTAGTTCTTTTCGCATCCCTGCTGGCCGGTTTGAATGCGCGACGGTACCTTCAGACAAAAGCAGGCCCACCGAATACAGTGTCGCTCCCTACTGACTTTTGGGATTGCGCTTGATGGCCACGCTATAATTTCTGTGCTTCTGGATGCGGTGTTGGGTGGCGAGATTGGAGATGTCACAGTCGCCTCTAATTCTGCAGTCACCTTGTTCGCTGCATCTGCAGTCGGGTTCAACTGCAGATCGTGGTCGGCGCTTTCGTTTGATATATTTTTGGTATGATACTTGCGCTGCACCGTCAGAATCCTCTCTACATCTCCTATGCTTGATTGTCTTTTGCGCATATATTGAGTGGTGTGTTACTTACGGTTGTCTTCGCGTCTTTTAATACTAACAAGTCCGGAGGCACTGGAGTTTCTTAGAGGAAACCAACCTCACACTTCGTTTCTGAGCGGGAGTTTCGCCCGGTGCTATGTCGAATCGGTTGACGTGTACATTTTATCTCAGGGAAACAGGGTAGGCCGCTTTCAAATCTCGACTGCTGGCTGTTGAGTGGCGCTTGTCACTATGCTCGGAGGCTAGACGCTGTTTTGTAGTGACCACAATCTTTTGAAGTCTTACCTACGACTCTTTTTACCCGATCTTCACTCCAGCTCTTATCTATGGCTATAGCGTCCGAGGAAATATGTCACAGCGGTGAGTTGTAATAATGCTTCGCACATCGGAGGCCTCATCGCCATCATCATAGATTTGGGAGGCGTAGGATGACGTCTGCATCTGAGAGCAACAAACAACATGCTTCCCATGCAATCTCCGGAATCTAGCCATGATGGCAAGCGAATTCGAGGCAAATCCCTATCAAGGCGTTCAGGCGGATTCTTGTCAGGCTGTGGTCCCATCCGCATCCATCGCTATCTCTCGCCCTGATGTGTCGTAGACCGTTGGTGCGCGAACCCTTATGGCTTCGTACCACCCAATATACTTGAACTACAGCGCATACCCTCGTCGCCCTCTGCACTGTATACATACGCTAGGAGTTTATTTTGATACGCATGTTATACATTATACATGGTGTCAGCTCGTGCATGTTCTCTACAAAAACTAGACCCCCACAAAGGTATTGAAGAAAAGTCCCACTAAAATCCTAGCGAACAAGAGAAGCTTAGTCCACGCTGTTGTAAGGTTCCAACTTTGAGGCTCGTGGGTCCTCCTGCAGCACAGTCAGCATAGACGAGACCACAGTCTTCTATAAATGACCTACCTCCATCAGCTGATCCACTGGTATTGTGATAGGCTCAGCTGACGTTGCGGTGGTCAACGGATTCGAATTTGGCCACGCAGAGGCCGGCATCGTTGTTTGACTCCGCCAGACCCGGCTTGATCTGTTGAGAACTGATCTTACAGAGAGAGCTGACATCGTCGAGAACAATACACTGGGCTGTACACTCTGTTTCAGAGATGCGCGTGCGTTCAGGCTTACTAGCAACGACGTGAGCAGGACTGTGAAGTGCATCGTCACACATTACTTCGAACGTGGAACCAAGGCTTACGTTTCGGAAGCACGAAAAATATGCCAACGAACATGAACTTGTGGAAGTCGGTGCCCGGGTACAGAACGAACTGTGCAGTGATGCATCAGGGATACGGGTAGAATCCAAGGACGTCGGTACTCACTAAGAGCAGGGCTGCAACCGCAGCCAGACTACGCCGCTGTTAACGGCGACAGCATACTTCAACAAAGCACAATACCTTGTTAGCAGCCCCGTGTTAATGCTGTACAGCATTAGTACACGGATTACGGAATCGATGCTGAGGGAGGGCTTAGTCGTGCAAGTGCCCAGCTGCTCGAGATGCGCTCACTTGGCAAATCCGGTGCGACTCCGGGCTAGAAGGTAGCACATGTATGCAGCAATGAGGGCGTCCGCCATGACGCTCGCGCAGAGAGCTGAATAAAGAAAATACTAGCTCTGTTTCTGAGCGTACATGCGACCCCGCATATACAACAGTATGCTCACCGACACTGTGGTGACTTCGAATAAGAAGTTCTGCGTCATCAACCTAGAATCCGTCATTATCGTCTCTCATGCTCAGGAAAATGTATCATTTGAACTGACCCCCATATTGAGAACGCTGGGAGGCCATATGAATATTTCAATCGAATATAGCAAAACGTTTGCGCAGAAACGTACCCCAACAAGCAGCTGCGATGCGTCTGGAGAGTTAATGTGAACCAGAGGACCAGAAAAACAACGCACCTAATTCGGCAACGGTGCTCAATAACTATCCCAGCATTAGCTTCCATCGGTACCGTCACAAGGACCACCCACAACAGAAGCGGCCATAAGTCGATTCCTGTTGCTGACTAAAAACAAGGTGAGCAGAGAATGCGGAACATGGTGTATGCGCTCACACATCCATATCCGCCAACAATATAAGCTATAAGATGTATAGTGAGTGCTTCGCCTCCAACAACCGCAGAAACCAGCGTACCTTCTCACAATCGCATCGCTTAGGCTCTAAGCGGATCGTCAATTGGGTACTAGAGACGAAAGGACCATCTGCCACATACAGACACGATAATATGTGCCTGTGTGCGCCGAGTGAATACTATGGACGGCGAAGCCGAGTGCAGCACTCACTATAATGCTCCTATGGTGCAGTGCATCAGCACCCGCGTGTTTCTGCCCACAAATGACTCACCAGGGTGGCCGTACGAAGACCTCGGAATCGATGACACTGGTAATGGTGTAGGTGTAGACTATGTCCACGATCAACGCCAGATGTAATGTATCAAGGACACTTCAACAGATAATCGTGAGCACCCCGACCACCGGAACGATGAAGATGCACCCCGTGACTTACATTAAGAGGATGAGCTGGTATAGAAGACAGTCAACGCACGTAGTCCTCCGCTATTAATGATCATCATTTCACCCACCAGACTCATCAAGACCTTCGAATCCGCACTACTGTTTTGGAAGTAATTGAAGGCCTGCATAGTGTTGAATCCATATAGACTGCGAGCGGTCAGTTAGATACGGTGGCAAATCAGAGTCTATGTAAGATGAGGGCATACATGGATGCGAAGACTGTGCCTACCGAGTCGTAGATGAGTGCTACATACAAGAGAGCACACCTGGCCCCACTCACCAATATAGGCAGACCCCAGCACAGCATGCATAGAGTCCAGTTCGTCTCGTCGTTGTACCTGTAGGGACATCACGCTGCGAGTAATCGGAGTCAATAGAGTATGTTGGATCGCGAATGGAACTTGCTCAGAGGAGCCATCTCAGCCGCCTTAAATATGGATTATCTGGAGCAGGTCCGCTGAGCAGTTATGCGAAATCCGTAAGCAGCATACGCGGTGCGGGTGTGGTGCATGTCGGTGTTGCTACAAACCACCTGTGGCAAGGTCGCTTCACCACAGGTCCACAGGGAAGCCAACAGAAATTTACATCCTCTGATTATCAGACGGTAGGCCACCCACGAAAGGCCGACAGCACATCGGTAAAGCGCATCTCCGCGCACGACACGGAAGCACTGGCAGATTGTATGAGCGCCACACGGCAACGTCAAACACCACTGCGGAGGCTGGCTTAGCGTCGTCGCGCCTCCACAGCGGTGGCGGCATATACCGGTCGCATGATATCATGTGTCCCAACCCTTTTTTTGTGTCCTTTTATTGTCCGCGAGGGCTGAGCCCCATGTAGACAGCAAATACAGGTAGTGCAATCGTGCATGTAGGTCAGAATCGTAACAAAGGCACCAGACACCACCCGACGCGCGGGCGGTTGTCAGCGGCTAGTGTAGGGTATTCTATGTGGCCAGGGAGGGGAGAAGACGGTGTACATAGGAAGTAAAAGCGGCGAAAGCTGTACAGTACTGGCGCTAGTGCAACGGGACCGCAAGGTGGACATCGGCCATTTAAGGCAAGAGATGCTGAAGAGCAGTGTCACAACGAAAGATGACCGGTCTCGTACCCAAACGTATCGAATGTCGAATTTCTCGCCATAGAAAATAATCAAAAAGTGTCAATTGAGTGAGGAAAGCCTTTCCACCCTTCCAAGATCAGTCTCCGACACCGCAACCATCGGCCGTCCCCGACCCGTCGACACCCCATCACGAAAGGATTCCGTACTCATCTCCCACGAAGCGAAACCCATATACTATGTACGACGATATATTAAATGACTGAGCGGATGCCGGAGAATGCCGGATTCATGGCCGAGATTTCGAGAGACAGGAAATGGATTCAGAATCATACGCACCGACATGCGATGCAACTATCTCTGGCTCTCAAGTGCGTGTGTCTCACTTCGTCTAACTTCCACATCCAATGCCGTCTAGTATGTTCATGTCAAGTTGTGGCCATTAGTTCCACACAGACGATCACTACAAAGAAATCATCCTTTTGACGCCGTCGAAACGTACGCGAATGGCATTGGAATTGTGCGATAAGGCTTTAAATAACATTATGTGGGAATCTTACTTTTTTCCACATTTGAAAGTAGCTTTTCGCCTTTCCAAAGCTGTGAAATACGCATATATCAAGACTTCCAACAGGTCAAAAAGGAAACTTTATCTAGTCTCGTTAAAGATCTATTTCCTCCTAATGGAAAGGACAAGCTCTGCATCCCTCTGCGTATAGCAACTCACAATACACGGTTCTATGCATTCCTCAGTCCTCCGCATATACGATGCCAGACTGACGTTGTATTTTCTGAGTTCTGCAATGGAGCACAGTATCGTAAACCGTGGGAAGGAAATGATGGTCAAAATTGGGTCCCATGTCTCACGTCACCCTCACACGTGCGTCGGTAGTTGCCGTTAGCAGGCAGCATGGCCTCGCATGAGGTCCTTGTTCTCCGCCACCGTTATAATATCATCAATGTCCCTTGACGCCAAGCACCTTCGCAGTGCCTTGTCCTGTTCAGCTGTATATGTGGCATGTAGTGATGGACATGCGGTAACGAGCGGAAAAATGGTTTTATGTCCGATAGTGGCGAACTGATGCCCCTGGGGCACAGTCAATCTTACCATCCGTCCTGCGTCGGTATTCCGCTACTCAACTCTCTGCCCACGCGAGTTCAGAATGATGTGGATAACGTCGGTAACTATACCCTACTTTCACCGCGTTATGTAGTGTCCCTAACTTCATACTTTCAACGGCAAGCAGAAGGCACGCTACAAGGGGGCCCGATATCACAATCGTCAAAACCGCCCAATTTCAAAACTTTGCATATAAAGTATCTACGATGGATGAGAGGCTGATTTTCTGACGTCTTGTTATGCATTTACTTATGTTTTTAGCAGCTCAAGACAATACAACATCTTCAACGAGATGAATCAGTATTTTCTAAGGGGGTACTCGGTTCTACCTTCATGGGTGAGATTGCCCTAATTACTTTGAAATATATACTGATGTACGGTAGGGATTGCACTTGCATCTATGTATACGTTGATCAAACAAGCGTAGCAACTTTTAAATCAACCTTTTTTCAGGTTATTCGGTATCAACAGCTTGCAGGTGCTTGTGTATTATCGCAGGAATGGGACAGACACCATTAGTTTCAAGAGTCTTGTGAGCTGGATCCTTCTGTCTATGCGAGGCATGAGCTTACGGAAATGGTTGCACTTATAGATCGCTTTTATATGGTAATTCTTGGGCGATCGTGCTATCTCCTACTTCTTACATGCTCACCGCCGGGATCCTGGATTTCGTCGATCTAGTCCTCCTTTTGCAAGTTATATATGGTCATACTGTCACTGCCCATGGGAATATGACTTTAGTCGTACAGTCTGTATGGCGTATTCTCAGGTGGTTCTTCCGTGCATACCCATTAACCCGATGACGCATATTAGGAGCTTGACTGTAAGTAGATTTTAGAGGTCTGAATAAATTTTTGGTAATATTTCGACCTTTTGTAGGCGCACTTCGTTTTTTCCGTGGGTAATTTCTTTTTGCAAATCTGTATTATTCTGGTCTAAAGCCGTCTGATAAGTTCCTAAGCGACGTGATTCTAAGAGGGTACGCTTGGCATGTTGTATGTATATCCTGAGGGCTGAGTTACAATAATCCACAATTTGTTCTGTTGGAGAATATGGGTTTGTGGGTGCTTCACACATTTTGATAGTGTAATGCCTGACTGTTATCAATTAGTGGGAGAAATCGGTTCATGGCCACTGCGATTGTATGTCAACTACTTCTGTTATTCGGTCATGACGATTCAAGTATTGTAGATTATGTGTTCCATTGGGGCATTGGGTATGGCACATGAATTCATTACTCCCATGTCTCATCTCACATAAACGACACCTATTTGTGAAGGTGGTGGATGGGGTACGCCCAAGGCATGCTCTCTCATTATAGCTGATCTTTTACTCCGATGTACTAGGGTTTTCCATTTGGGGGTAGATTTTTTCTGGGGTGTAGACTACCATAATCTCTCATTCCAATCTATTTTAGGTTCATCACTCCCAACTACTTTCTCAAGCTAACGGAAATCTCTGTGAGTGTACTACTGTTCCCGCCAAATTTGCATCAATCATGTGAGACCCATATTAGTACTTTGTATATGTGGGCTTCGGATCAATTGCTGCAGCAGATACATTCATCGCCGTCTCTTTATGCACCTTACTGGCTCGAAGCCGCACAGGATCTTCCAGGTAGGTATATACTGCAAATAGTTAAAACAATGTAAAGATTGACTCTTCGCCTCTCAAGGAACAGATGCGTTAATCCGTATTCTCATGCTGTATAGTATCAATACAGGCTTGATGACAAGGTAAATCCCACGCAGTCCTATATATACATACTTACTAACGCCTCAGTATTAGTCTATGTGCCACCACATCCCTACTCATGGTCCGATCCATTCCTGAGCATGTTCCGCTTACAGCTTCTGACGCCTTGATCTTAGTATATATTCCTGAAGGGCACCAACAAATTTATGTTTATGGGAATTTTAGTTATTTTAAGTAAGCGTGAGTATTGCTTATTCTTCGTGAAGAAGTCGTCGGCTATGTTTACTCTGATTAGTTCTTTTTACGTCTCTGCTGGCCAGTCTCAATGCACAACCATATCTCAAGACAAAAGCTGGTCCACCGATCGCAGCATTGTCGCCCACCGACCTCTGGGATTCCACTCAATAACCATGCTTTGGCAGCTGTATGTTGGGGATCGAGGCTGAAAATGCCACGATCATCTTGGATTAATTGCCTTATTGCTTTTCACCAGTGATCGCGGCGGACAACAGATTGTGGTCGACACATTCACATTTGGCATATCTATCATATCTATAAAATGATACCCTCATTGCGTTGTCGAAGTCTCCCCTTACTTCCGCTGCTTGATTCCCCGTTGTGCGTGCACGTGAAGCAGTGCGTCTGATAGCTGTAAGTGTCCTATTTCAAATACAAGTGATACAACTAGTGCTACTAGTATGATCCATTTTGCCTGTGATTTGTTTGTATGATTCGAAGTATAGAGCTTCATACATTGTGTTTCCCCGTAAGCCAGCATCTATTTAATGCCTTTGGCATTGATCATTCATGTGGCCTTTGATAGAATTTGCATTTGACAGTTACCGGGGCGACAACTGTTGAATGAAGTGTGAATTACACTCAGCTATACATAGATTCATCCGCAGGCAATGGTGGCAGCGGCCAGAAGAATGTTCAGAAGTGATTGAACCACGCAAACTTTTCTCCACCTGCGCATCGCAGGTATTGCGGTGATCTATAATTTTGGAGCCATTCCATCGTTATAAATCACGGATGAATGATGTTCTCGCCTGAAAAGTTGGTTGAGAAAAACTAACAGTCGACGATACACCTATACTGATACGACATTCAGTGTCCGCGACGTGCTACTTACTACTCATTCCAATTCTTGCGGCGTGAGAAGTTCCAATCTATTTCAATGCCACTGTTCGAGTCCCTGTATTCTCCGAGCGTGTTTGGTGCTATCTTTGTAGGTGAGCACCGGAATGCGCGTAATACAAGGATATGTACTGACTATAAGCAGAATTCGTTCTTGCTGACTTGTGCGTCTAGATCATTGCGGCTCACCCTGATGTAATGGTCAAACAACAACGAGTTTTTTCAGCTTGTTTGGGATCAATAGCCTTCAAACTGTTATGTACTACAGGAAAGGTGAAACAGACATTATGCTTATGAAGATCCTGGTGGGTATATTTCATCTGTACAATCTATACACGCATGAAAAAATGACTTGCTGTTCATCGATAGATTGCTTTCCTATGGTAGTAGTTTATGGTAATATTTGTTATATCCTATCCTCAACAGTCTTGTCAGGTTGCTAGATCTCATCGATATAGTCCTCCTCGCAATAGCTGCATATGGCCACGCTGTTACAGCTCATGCCGATATATTCTTGGTTACCTCGCAGTCAGTATGGTAGGCCTTTGTGTTATAAGTTTACGTTCAACAGCTGACAATGACACGACAATGATCATAAGGAGCATAACTGTGAGTTCCTTCCCGCAGTCACTGTGGCTCTCTAATCCAAATAAAAACAGGCGCACTTTCTAGTCTCGGTATGCTACCCCTCTATACATTGTGACAGTCCCATCTGAGATATTCAACAGTGCTTGAGCGAAGCTATCGTGAGGGGGTATGCCCACGAGTCTGTGTATTCTCATGCATTATAGGCTAAACTCCCTTGGTGATTCAGCATATTTTGTTGGAGAATTTGGATATGTACGCGAGGATCGAATACTACCAGCGTTCACACTAACTCGCAGTAGTTAGTGGCAAAAATAACTTCATGGCGACTGCAATTGTATGTACGCTTTTCTTGATCGCGCATAAGCCTCACGCATTACAGATTTTAAGCTCTATTGCTGCTTTGGGTGTGTTGACCTCATTTGCCTTTCTGTTATGGCTCACATGCCGCACATTGATGAAGGTGGTGGATGGGGTATATCTGAATGTAGTTTTCTTACAAATTGTTACTGATCATTTTGTCTTGCCTTACAGGGTTGTCCATTTGGGGGTCAGTCGGTGACTCACCTGAAGAATATGTACCACTAGAATCTCTGACCTTGACTGGCTCTAGGTTCGAAACACCAAAATACTTTTTTGAGTTTACAGATATCTCGGTGAATATCCCATTATGTTACTCAATTTTTGATACATTATGAATGGAGCCTTTCAGTATTTCGTATACGTGACCTTTGGGTCCATTATATTGGCAGACTCGTTGATTGCCATTTTTCTATGCTTGCTACTAGCCCAAAGCCGCACGGGTTTCTCGAGGTTAGCACATCAGTCGATTGATCGAGTTAGTCAAATTACGAATCAACTCTTGAATTCGTCAGGACGAATACATTGATCCGCATGCTCATGCTGTATAGCATCCATACCGGCCTACTGACAAGGTAAGTCTTTCATTATAACTTAATAAAAAAACTCTCATACTGGGACAGTCTCTGTTCGATAGCTTCTATATTCATGGTATGATCTAGTTCAAGACGTTGTGCGCTATACAGTAATTGTGCTTCTACATGTCTAGTATATGTTTCTGCTAGGCACAAACAAGCTCATAGTTGTTGGAATTGTAGCTATTCTTAGCAAACGTGAGCGATGCAATTCAGGGAAGCTCATATGCGCTAAGTGATCTTTTGCGTACCCCGGTTATAGTTCTCTTTGCGTCCTTGTTGGCAAGTCTCAATTCACGATCGTTTCTTAGGAAGAAAGCAAGATCATCATACGCCATGTCTCTTGACCTCCGAAGCGCCACTTGATTATAGTGCTACATACATACGTGCCATCTCGGGAAACATGGCCGTGTTCAGCTTCAAGTCAAGTCGCATCGTTCGACAGAGCGCTCGTCATAATCGAGTTGGATCAATCACAATTTCCACAACCCTCTGGAAGTCTTCTTCACATTCACAATCTAGTTACAGTCAACGAGAATCGTCATGTGTAATCATTGATAATTACCCTTGTGTTTTCAGCATATCAGACTATGTCGTCCAAGTCGCGCCGTACATTGAAGTCTCAATAAGTGCTCATGTTGATTACCCACTTTTTTTGAAGCCTCAAGGTTTGTATTCTCGTGGTACTAGACCTGAAGAAAGTGAGGAAGCCTGAGAAGACTGTCACGAGTGCATGCCCCCAAGCGTTGTTGTATCAAATTCAACCCCCTGCAACCGTATCAGCCTTCGAAGGTAAGGGCTTATCTATCCAACAAACAGGTCATCTGGGCTCTCAGGGAGGGCACACGTGGAGACTGGTGCAAGTAGCGTAGCCGATTGGAGGAGAGCGTGCGTCGCAGTGGTGAGTGATGATATAGTGCTGCGAACTATTTCAGTTAGCATGATTCCCATTGTAATGGTGTGGCACTCAATGACGCTCCAGCAGGTGACATACTACTACTCGAGAGATTTACTACTCGTGTTCACAAGTGAGAGATGTGGTACGTACTGACGAAGACACATACCAGAAACTCTGCACAGTAGAAGTGAGTGAAAGCACTCACTCGCTGTCTAAATCAATTAGATTGTCCGACGGCCAAAGTTCTGAGATGAAGACGTATAAACCAAGGATAAGCGCTCTCGCGATGAATCGCCTGAACGAATGCCGCTGTGCCAACGGGATTAGTAATGTGGGGCTTCGCTTCGGCTTGTGGCCAACGTCACTCTCTTTGCGTTGCTAGAAGCTCGGAGATAGGGATGATGCTGATATTTTACTGGAGATTTGAAGGAAATGGCTGACCTGTCCCAGAATTTCAGACATGTCTAGGACCAAGACCGTCGGAAATATCTAATTGGATGCCAGTTCATCCTGAAGCGGCAATCTAACTTATCTCGTCTAGAATCTTGCTCATATGCCAATTCAGCTTATCATCCAATGGCAGGAACTTTCCTGCAGCTTCAACAGTGACGCGGGCCCATCTACTAGGAGATACTAATTGGATGCAGAAACCTATGATGGGCTTCATAATCTTGGTACGTTACCCCATATTCAGGGTTTTCATCAGTCATCAATATTACCTGACTAAATAGCGAAGTCCTATTCAGAGTTTATCCTATCCCTTCTTCGGGCGGTCTTAGTCAGTATACCGAGTAATGCTCAAGTGGATCAGATGCCGCCAGCTGCGACCCTGCTGCACTACGCAAGCCTTCGGCGGGTTCAAAGCATCGTCCAGGACGTACAACAAAGAAATGACCCTTTCCCTGCAATGGAAAGGCCATCGGAAAGGTGCCCACTGAAGGATAACTTGCCTTTTCTCCTTTCCAAAATAGGCCTTTCTCCGCCGGATAAATGGTCAGTTCTTTGTGAATATGCTGACACTCTGCCCTAATATGATCACGAGGTTCCGTCGAAATAGAAGCAGGGCGAAGGCGCCGGTGTGTGTCACTGAACCTTCCTCGCGCTCGGAATACCGGGAACACTACTAATTATCGTTACTCATTCACTTGCATCATGACTTTTGAGATCCTATTATATATAGCTTGGATGGGAGATTCTGGCGATCAGCAATTATGGAGAACCAAAACCTGCACCTTCTCTTGTTCCTCCTCGGAATTGCCTTCCTTACATGGCGGCGCTATAACCGTCAAGTCTCTGCTAGTGTGCTTCACAAGGTTCCAGGTCCCCCTCGAACTTCATTTTGGACAGGTATGTTCAGGGTATTGAACCTGACTACTACGCCACGAGTGCCTATTCCGCTCTCATTCACAGGGAATCTTCCGGAATACTTGTCTCGCCATGGATCAGAGTTTCAGAGACATGTCGCTTTGGACTATGGTCCAGTTTCCAAGATACATGGGAGGATGGGTGTATGTTCATTGTTTCGCACTAGACGTTCAGTAATACTGACTATCTGTGACAATCTCGAAGCGCGTCATTCCGTATATTGCCGACCCCAAGGCATTGCATACGATTTTGATCAAAGAGGAACACATCTTCCAGGAAACGGATGGCTTTATTACGTGAATCTTCGTCAATACGATCTCGCGCAGGATGGTTCTGATATCTATTTTACTGACATCGGCAGGAGCAACATGCTTATGTTTGGTCCGGGCTTGCTTGGAACAGTCGGTATGTTTTATTTATCTCATCTGACGAGTGTGGTGGTAAGACGTTCACAGGTGATATGCATCGGAGACAGCGCAAACTCCTGAACCCAGCATTTTCCACTGCCCATATGCGGCACATGCTTCCCATCTTCTATCAAATCGTATACAAGGTACGTTCTTCCTGCGCTTAGATAACACAGTTGAAGACTTACATGCGTACGATAGCTTCGTGACGCTATTTCAGCCCAATTGGCGAATGGTGCCGAGGAGGTGGACATGTTGAATTGGATGGGTCGTACCGCTCTTGAATTGGTGGGCCAAGGAGGACTAGGATATTCCTTTGATCCCCTAGTTGAAGTCACAGAAAACGAGTATGGAAATGCGCTCAAGAACCTTTTGTGAGCGCCATTATGCTATTGAATCACAATGATAACTTTGCTGATCATCTTTGGCAAGTCCCAACATGCAAGAACTCTTCGTGTTACGAGAGTTCATCACTCGTATCAGCACGCTCGGTCCAGCATGGGTTCGACGCCAGATTGTCGACATGATCCCTCACAAAAACGTGCAAAATCTGAAGAGTATAGTGGATACCATGAGTCAACAGTCGCAATCGATCTACAATGCGAAAAAAGCAGCTATCAGCGAGGGCGACGAGGCGCTCCTTCAGCAAATAGGTGAAGGCAAAGATATCATGAGTCTTCTCAGTGTGTTCTCTTCATCTGCTCGATTTTGGATTGCTGACTGCTTGGAAAGTGAGGGCTAATGCGGCAACATCGGACACTGACCGGCTACCGGAATACGAACTTGTGTCCCAGATGTCGTCAGTACTGACCTTGCCCTTGTGACACTCGAAAACTGACTCCATGGTTCAAGGACCCTAGTACTTGCTGCGACTGATACAACCTCCAATTCTTTGACTCGTATTTTGGAAATCTTGGCTGGACGTCCCGATGCTCAAGAGAAGTTGCGTCAGGAAATTCTAGATGCAAGCGCAGCCGACGGCTTGTCGTACGATGAATTGGACCAGCTGCCTTTCCTCGATAGCGTCTGCCGTGAAACCTTACGTCTGTGAGTATTTTTCCGTATATCCTAGACGGGACTGGCATCTAATGCCGTTGAACAGAAATCCGCCTCTTGTGCTTATTTTTCGTCAGTAAGCAGTGTTCACCTTACCAATGATGATCTACTATACTGATGATTTAATGTGAAGGGCGATGCAGGACACTGTCGTGCCGCTTTCAGAACCTATTGTTGGTACCGACGGCAGTATGATCAGCGAACTTCCCATCCCGAAAGGCACCGAGGTAATAGCTGGAATTCTGGGGTGTAATGCGAGCAAGGCTCTGTGGGGTGAGGATGCTCTTGAATGGAAACCTGAGCGGTGGCTTTCTCCTTTGCCCAGCGCCGTTACGAAAAACACCATCCCAGGAGTCTATTCCAACTTGTTTGTATTTGTTGCCTCTTAGGAGCAGAGCGCGGCTGATATGCTTGGACAGAATGACTTTTATCGGCGGGAAGCGATCGTGCATGTACGTTTCGTGTGATTGATCCGGATTCTTGTGTCCTCACAACATTTACTAGCGGCTTCAAATTTTCGGAAATGGAAATAAGTAAGTGTCGATGGGTCGTCCCAGATATGTACGCCCTTGAAGATTGAGAACTCCCTACAGAGGTCGTGCTCTCCGTGCTTCTCACACACTTCAGATTTCATTTGACGGACAAGCCTATCGAGTGGAACGTTGCGGCGGTGCGGTATCCCACCGTTGGAAAGACCAGCGATATACCGCAGCTACCGCTCAGAGTCGAGTTACTGAAGTCCTAAGTGTGGATGGTTTGCACATCGGGAAAGTGATCGGAGTAAATGTGGTACTGCAGTTGGACATTGGACACAGCACGAGTCTATCGCGAAAATTTGCCGAGGCCCAACGGAGAAAATATATTAGTCACTACATATCATAATAAAATTAGCACAACTTTGTGTCCGGGCTGTTTGAAGCAAACATACATCACTCATCGTCACTTTTGTCCGTGGGGCTGCCCGGAACGGCTCCCCATGGCTGTAGTAGGACTCAGGAATTGGATGAACAGTTGGGAGCGTCGCGGTGTCCGAATTGAAATGATTATAGCCCAAGATCACGCCTGCATCCGTCATTTGTCTAGGCACATCGAGGGGGATTGACAGTGAGCTATCATTGTATGTTGATCGCGTCGGGAAGCTCGGCGGGCTGAGTAGTCTAAACATGACATTCCCGGCGAATTCCCGGGGGTGGCGCTGTCGCGTCGTGCGTGAGTCGTGGCGACAACTTGCCTCCTTACTCCTATCTAATACAGCCGTGAATTTTAAGCTAAATGCTCGTTGCACTATCATTCCACAAATCGCTTGCTAGACCGCGTGTACTGTTCCGTATGCTATCATTGTGCTAGAAAATGTTCATTTTTGTTACTTTCGGATGACACTGCTTGAAGTGGCGGTGGAGGCGGTCATGTTGGAGCATCAAGCTTGACAGTTGGTAAACACTATGTTGTAGTATTCTGATAAGAGTCCGGCCTTGGTGAGTGCCGCTGAATGTGACTAGTGGTAACACACTTAATTACCTTAGCTTCATGAACGTCCATGGCTATGTTTCAGGAGGCTGACGTTGTGTCAGCCGTGTACAGTGCTTGGCCTGAAGGAAGATGGCCAAAGGCTACTCGATCGTAGTCAAGTTGCCCCTTTCATCTCGGGATCACGAGCAGTGTATCTAATCCTTGTCGGGACGGTAAGCTCCCGTCAACACTGGTTGAGTGTTGCCGTACGTGTCACCCTGGCATCCCTGAATAAATACCTCGTCTACACAAGAGTGCGAGCCTGGACAGCTATGGAAGGGCGAAACCTACCGCTCGTGCTATTCCCTCTCTGCATGGTACTCTTCGCGTGGTGGTACTTCGCCCGGCGAAGTACTAACAGCGTGCTCCACAATCTTCCAGGTCCTTCCCGGAGGTCATTTTGGACAGGTACGGAGATGACGTCCTAGTGGTTGATTGAGCGCGCTTACATATGGTTGTTCGCGGTGGCAGGAAATCTTCCTGAATACCTCTCTCGCCATGGGACGGAATTCCAAAGGCACGTCGCGCTGGACTATGGTTTGGTATCAAAGATACACGGCGTCATGGGGGCGAGTATGGCCAAGTCTTCCCTGATCATCAAGCTTACAATCGCGCAGCGTGTCATTCCTTACATCGCTGATCCCAAAGCGCTGTATACAATTATGATCAAGGAAGAGCACATATTTCAAGAATCGGAGAGTTTTCTCATGTGCGTCGTGCGTGCATGAAGAAGCTCAGTCCTGACCGTGCAGTATAGAGCCCATGCGATTTTGCTCGGTTCCAGTTTGCTTTCCACCGTCGGTGCGTATCAGCCCGTTTAGCTGTTTGTTGAAATACTCAGTTGCGTACAGGAGATGCACATCGCAGACAGCGAAAGTTGCTGAATCCGGCATTTTCTACCACGCACATGCGCTCAATGCTCCCAATATTTTATGATGTCGTACACAGGGTATATCGTCTTCCTTACTGAGAAGGCATCGACTTACGGCGTGGAATAGCTTCGTGATGCTATCTCTGCCCAGGTCAAGGGTGGGCCTCGGGAAATCGACATGCTGAATTGGTTGGGCCGGACGGCACTTGAACTGATCGGCCAAGGCGGGCTGGGATACTCATTCGACCCGCTTGTCGAGGATGTCCAGAACACGTACGGGAATACTATAAAGAGCTTCTTGTAAGTATGATTGTCATCGGCACAAGTAGGAATGCCGATGAATATGATTCTCATTAGCGCGAATTTGCAAGCACTGGCGCCGTTGCGGTTCTTTGTGCCCTATCTCCCCAAACTTGGGCCGGCGTGGTTTAGGCGACGTCTTGCAGAGATGGTTCCACAAAAACATGTGCAGAATCTCATAACGATTACAGACATCATGAGCGCAAATTCGCGAACGATCTATGAGTCTAAGAAGGCTGCTCTGCGCGAGGGTGATCAAGCGGTCGGAGAGGGCAAGGATATCATGAGTATCTTCAGTACGACTGTCTCGATGCGTGGATGTGTGGATGCTGACAAATGGCTAGTGAGAGCGAATACGGCTACCTCGGATGCTGATAGACTTCCCGAAGATGAGCTTATAGCCCAGATGTCGTTAGTGGTTCTTCTCGTCTAACACATGTACATATACTGACTGTATCTTCAAGGACTCTTGTGATGGCTGCGACAGACACGACATCTAATACGTTGGCCCGCATGCTGGAAATTCTGGCAGCGCGTCCCGACGTTCAGGACAAGTTGCGCCGCGAGGTTCTCGATGCAGGCGCAGGCATCGGCGTATCCTACGATGAATTAGACCAGCTCCCCTTCCTTGATTCTTTCTGCAGGGAGACATTACGCCTGTGCGTGCTCACCTTCGGACCCTAGCGGCCTATGCTAACACGTTGTGATCAATATCGAAGCTATCCCCCCGTTTTAATTCTGTTCCGCGAGTATGTGACTTGATTCATCGATACGAATCACTGATTTGACAGACTCGTGGTTAGGGCAAAGCAGGATACAGTACTTGCGCTTTCCGAGCCCATAATCGGTGCCAACGGCCGTCCCATTACGGAGCTCCCCATCGCCAAGGGCACGGAAGTCATGGTCGGCGTCCTAGGTTGTAATACGAGCAGGGCCCTCTGGGGTGAGGATGCGCTCGAATGGAAACCTGAAAGGTGGCTCTCTCCCCTGCCTCCCACAGTGACGAAGAACACAATTCCAGGCGTTTACTCCAACATGTGGGTGTCGCGCTCGAGCGCCGCTTTGTTTGTCCGTCTGATCAGCGCCGTTCAACAGGATGACATTCTTGGGAGGAAAGCGGGCATGCATGTACGCCATCCCACTCATAGTGCCTACCTACGGTAGCTGATGCAGGCTCCTTCAGAGGCTTCAAATTCTCGGAAATGGAGATGAGTAAGTGGACCGCGCTGCATGTACGCCCGAGTCGATGCTGACGCTCACCCCGTCCGCAGAGGTCGTGCTATCCGTGCTCCTTTCGAACTTCAGGTTTCACCTGACCGACAAGCCGATCGAGTGGAATGTTGCTCCGGTTCGCTATCCTACTGTCGGAAAAGCGAGCGACGTGCCACAGCTGCCGCTGAAGGTGGAACTTTTCAAATCCTGAAGATGTGGACGTGTTGCTGGCCATTCGTCTCGCCGCGAGCATGTATCTTGGTACCAAGACATTTCTGCGTGAATTTTGGCTGGGCGATGTCGACACACCTGCGAGAGAAATATAGCTTATACATACTGTACATAATGAACACCTGTAAAATAAGTGTACAACACGACGAAGCGAGCAATTAAGCGGCCGTTGCCGGCGACACCTCGCTATCCAAAAGTAGTGATCTAAGCTTTAGCTCGACTCTAAGCTTCGACCTGATCATTGCTTATCTACTGGAGCTTGACATTTGCTCGTTCTGATCCCGAGTCCTTACCCTGTCCCGACTTATACCGGATTTCACTATACAGTGGTGTATGTGCGGTCTGCTTGTTTGTGGTACGCGAGACGATTATGTACAGCACGGCGGCGCATATACGACTGTATGCGAAGAGCGTCGACACGTCCAATCTGTGAAACAGCGTCTGTGCCCGCGCCTTCAGCGTGTTGCGAGCGCGAGAGATTCCGAACAAGCCGGTCGCGCCCCCCTTCCGCCCATGGTGTCCCGTCGCCACGCCGCCCACCGCGCCCGGCCTCTCGAAAACGGCTCGACGTCGTGGGCTCCGCATGCACCCAATGCTGAGTCTGCGACCGAGGGATGTCGACAGGGAACTCAGCCGCGGGGCAGGATCGCGGGCAACGGCACAGCCGCGTCCCACCCAGCGAGACCGCAGAGCCGTTCGCTGGCGAGCATCGTGTACCACAGAGGGCTGCGGCGGCCGCGCTGTCGAATGCGGCCTCCGAAAGGTGCAGCGTGCGATGTGCGCCGCTCGGCGACCGATGTCTGCCAGTGGTCTGATTACCAGAGGGTGTTGTTGATCCCTGTCGGTCCCAGCGCGGCCCGTGGTGGGCTTCGAGTCGGCGCTGACAGCGTGCGTGTGCCGTTTTTGAGGTCTGTGCCTGTCCTCGTGGGCTCACATGAATGCTGGACACAGAGGCAGGGCCACATGGAAGAGACACCCGTGGCGGACACAGCCATCGGAGGGCAAGTGCGAGCTGCGGCCTCCGCCGTCCGTGCGATGTCGAGAATCTGCACCACGATGTCGCAGGGCCGCGGGCGGGGAGGTCGGCGTGCGTACCGCCCGTCGCCCGTAGAGCGAAGATCGGTGGTCCCGGCGCTCGCGCAGAGGCGGTGGCATAGGGACCGACGGGGAGCCGGGCCCGAGGGCGCTGCACCCACCCAGCCCAGGCCAGCAGCCTCTGTGGCTCGTCGTTTCTCCAGAGGATCCATATTTAATGTGGACAGCTGGGATGGCTGCGCCCTGAGCACGTTACACCAGCGAGCCTGCTTCCTCCATCCGCGCCGGTTTGCTGCAGCACAATGTCCCTCCAAGCGCAATTGCTCGGCGAGCTGGACTCTCTGTACGCGGTGCTGGGGTCGGCCTATATTGGTGAGCGGGCACGCGCGCGCATTTTTTTTGTTTCATTTCGGTGCGCGGCGCTGACCAGTGGGACAGGCACAGTCTTCGCGTCCATGTATGCGTTTTTCAGTCACCCGCGCTCGTCCGCCTGGCATCTGACCGAGCGCACACAGTCTGTATGGCTTTAACACTATGCAAGCGTTCCTGTATTTCCGGCACAGCAGCGCGGACTCGAACGTGCTGAGGAGTCTGGTGAGTGGGTCTTACGAACTGCGAACGGCCAAACCATGATGCGTCGGTCACCTGCACCAGATCGCCTTCCTGTTGTGAGTCGTCCCCCTTCGCACCGCTGGCAATCGGGTTGCTCACGGGCATCCGCCGCAGTGTTCTTGATACATTACACTTGGCGTTGATCGTGAACGTAGTTTACACCTACACTATCATCGGACTCGCCAGTCCGGAAGTCCTGATACGGCCCGTCTGGTGAGTCGCTCCCGGTGCGTGAACACGCGCCGCCGCTGATATGATACGCCGCGCATGGTAGGAGCATCACGGTAAGTCCCGCACCCAGCCTCGCCGCCCACGGTGCTCACCCGGCGCACCCAGGCGCATTTTATCGTTTCTGTACGTCGCGGGCGCTCTGTCCGTCTCCGGTGCACAACTTAATGATCTGCCCAGAGCCTAAGCGACGCGATCGTGCGGAGGTGCGCAGACTTGATTTGACCGGCCCCTGCGCGCGCAGAGCACTCACCGTGCGCCTTTCAGCTTGTATTGCTGGCGAATATGGATATGTGAGCGCATACGCCGGGGCTCACGCCGTCTGCTCACCTTGTCTAGTCAGCAACAAGAATCGTTTCATGGCCATTTCTATCGTGGGTCGTCTCTGTGATGGTGCATGTGTATATGTGGTAGCTGACGTCGGAGCAGATATTGAGCACCGTCGCCGCGTCGGGTACGTTGTTTTCCTGTCGTCCTGTAATCCCTTTAACGCTTCCGACGCGTTGCAGCTAGTGGCTGGGGTACGTCTTCCGCGCCGTCTTTTGCCGCACTCGACTGACGTATTCCTGCGGCCATCCAGCGTTCTCAGTATGGGGGTCAGTCCAAATGCCGCGCGTTGCTGCGTGAGAGACGATACTGATAGGTCCCAGGTTCCTCACGCAGAACTATTTCTTCGAGATCACAACGGTGTCGGTGAGCATATCGCTGTATGCAGGGCCGCCCGTGCGCTCAGCGGCCGGACTAGTACTTTCTTTATTCGGGCCTCGGCGCGAGCGTCGTGGCGGACGCCCTCATTGCCGCGTGCATGTGCTACCTTCTCGCCCGGAGCCGCACCGGGTTTGCCAAGTGAGTGCACCTCGAGCAGCGGGACTCGCGCGCGGCTAAGCCCTCCTCCTCCCTCAGCCTCGATTCCGTGATCCATGTGCTGATGCTGTACAGCATCAATACGGGGCTGCTGACAAGGTATCGTGCTCGGTCAACGTATGCTGCCCCCGCTGACGACGGCGCAGTCTGGGTGCGGTCGCCGCCCTGTTATTGGTGAGTGCCGCCGTCCCTGGCGCACACACTCACGCATCTCTGACGCGTCTCTGCGCAGTACGTCCTGTACCCGACCGCCGACTTGCACAAGCTCACGTTCATCGGGATCTACTTTGTGCTCCCCAAGCGTAAGCCCCCCCCGTTCACTATCGACTGCGCGGCGCGTGACGGTCTGGCGTGGCATACAGTGCTGCTGACGTCGCTGCTGGCGAGCCTCAACGCGCGCTCGTATCTCAAAGAGAGGGCACAGCCGAGCGTGCTGTTCACGACGATGCCTGCGCTCTCGACGCGGTCGAAGCTCACGCGGTCAAGCCGTGGCTGGTGGAGCCAAACCACGCGCGGGTCCATGCCGGCCCCTGCGCGGCCGTTTGCGAGCCCGTTGGCCAGCACCGCGCCGGTGGGACCCATTACGATGACGATAAACCAGCTAATGGAGGAGGTAGGGCGGTCAAACGTGTGCGGTCTCGTCTTTGCTGACTGTGCTGCAGGAGGAGCTGCGCGCGCCAAAGTCGTAGCGTTGGCTACAAGGCCTTCGGCAAGGGACGGGTTGGAGGGGGGTGGCATGTCGATATCTTTGGCGGTTTTTCCCAGTGGCTGTTGGGAGGGGAATCACGGACTATAGGTAGGATTAGCGATACGTAATAGAAGATGTGTAACGGTAATCTGAGAGGCTCGTGTGGGTCGAGTCACGGAGCCATGAGGGCTCCTGCACCCAGTCTGCGATTTGGCCTGTTGGATCCAAGAAGTCGCCATGTTGGGTTTGCATCACTGTGATGGGTAGCTAGCTGCCTGGAAGGGGGCTACAGGCTACTGGTGGACACGACAAATCCCATATCGACATATGATATGAAGCCCGAAAGCAAATAGTGCGCAAGCAGCACCCTTGACTGGCAGTAGACTAGTGGGTGACCAGGCGCGATCTGATGACCAGGAAGGTTGGTCTCCCCTAGGCCGTCAGGACTCATCCACCGATGGCAGCCTGGTTCCCGAACGGACGCACCCTGCCCAGCCTACTACCCCCGCTCTATCTCAGCAACAGCCCCGGGCAGGGTGCCCACCCCCACCGGTCTCAGTGCCAACCAGTACCATCCCGTCCATTCCGGACGGGCCCCAACCCTTGCCCTGCGACGCTGCGATCGCGATCGCACGGCGCAGCCCGCGCAACGCGGCGCGTAACGTACAGGGGCGCAGCGCCGCCTGCCCGTGTGCAGTGCGCAAGATCGCACCAGCGCACCAGCCCACGCACCCCCCACGCACAGCGGCGCATCTTCTCCGTCTGCGGGGGCTGGGCCAGGACACGGGGCGGGGCGCAGGCCTTATCGACCCGGCCGCTGCCTGCCCGCGCGCCCGGGGTGGTTCGGACTTTGCGCGCACGACGACTGGACCCTGCGAGCCTCCTTCTCCAGCGTGCCATCGACATCTTTGAATGCCGATAGCGCAAGCACCTATCGCAGAGGCGTTTAGTATAGTGACAGGAATAGCGACGCGCCCGCGCGCGCATGCATGCATGCATGGACATCGCGACGCCCTGCCCTGAGCTTCGCTGAATACGCCGGACATGGCTGGCTGGCACACCTCTCGAGGGAAGAGGGGAAGGAAGCCACCGCGGAGCGCTGCGCGGGCACGAGGCGGGTGATCGCGAGCACGATCACAGCAGAAAAGCCGGCCTGCTCACCCCTCTGGCGCCGGCCAGGCGCATCGAACGGCTTAGGGCACACAACCACACCCGCATCACACACACCGCGCAACGTAAGCGTATAAGCATCGTCAATTGTCCTAAAGGTCGTCAAGTATCGTACTGTGTATCGTAAAGCAAGCATTCTAATCCGTGAGAGATCCGTGAGAGTGTGCGAGAGGAGAGAGAGAGAAAGGAAAAGGAAAACAGGAAGCGGGACGGGGAAATCAGTAATTTGCTACACAAGGCGATAGCGCAAGCGAGATAGAGGCGGACGTTCCAGAATCCAGAATCCAAACGGACGAGACAGGGAGACGGGGAGATGAAAAAGTAGCGCGAGATAGGGAGTGCCCAGCCCGGGCCAGATTAGGAGATTACGCAGCGTGAGGGTTGGATGGAATGGAATGGGATGGGAAGGGATGAGAAGAGGTGGTGGCGCTCCAATAAATAGATCCAACGGGGAAAAAAAACGAGCGAAATTAAAGAAAAGGGGGGAATCAGCCGCTCGCGACGCATTGGCGCCGGGGCAGCATCGAACGTGAACGGAATAAGGCAACGCACAAGTATGAACAGGATAACGCAAGGTCGCTAAAAGTATCTGCAAGAACCGGAAGATGGAGCGGCACGGCACCGTGTCTGCGTCTGGAGTCAATCCACACACGCCAGACGGGAGCAGGAACGAGTTTCGAGAAAGCACGGGAGCAGCGGCAACTAGGGTCTAGTATCGTAATAGAGACTAATCAATAACTGAATCCAATGGGTTGATAAATACCAGCGCGCCCCACCGCAATTACGGCGAGTTCGCAGAGAGCGGCGTCTTGTACCGTGCAGGCGGCGGCATCGACGCTGTTGTCGTCGTCGTCGTCGAGGAGGCCGAGTACATCGAGTGGAATCCTCCCGGGCGCCCCGACGGTGGGCTGCCCGCCGCGTCGAGAGACGGAATCCACCGCTGGATCAGCTGCACCCGCTGGCGGTCCTTCTCTCGCTGCTTCTCTTTTTCTTTTTCGTCCGAGCCAGAGCTCGTCGTCCGGCTCATTTTGGGTGGCAGTGGCGGGCTCGATACCCGCGGTTGCCGTGAGGAGGAAGTGGGTATATGTCGACCTGCCTCGCCGCCGGTTGACGAGACATGGGTGGAGGAAGGTATCGCTGAGGCGGGGCGTGCAGCAGGCGTCATCGTTCGGTACCCGGGGACAGTGGACGCAGACCGGATGTGGCCGGACGCCGCACTCGCCCGCGAGACGGGAGAAAGTACCGAGGGAACATACGACGTCCGCATTGACGACGTGGGAGACGTAGCACCTGATCGTGAAGACGTGACCGGAACTGCAGACTGCGGACGAGGTGGCGATGTCAGCACGCTGCTAGTGGAAGAAGTACTGGGTGGAGGCGCGGCCGGAATACCGAGGCCGGGAGCCGCACCACGAACTTTGAGGCGGCTGAGCTCCGCACGCAGAGTCTGGACTTCCTGAGCTTTGGCTGCATACTGCGTCGACTGTGGATTAAGATCAGTTAATAAAGCGCAAACGATCGCCGATATCGCGGAAAAACACACCATCCTGTGAACAAAGCGACGTCAACATGCGATCGACTGTGACGGAACGAGGGCGCTCACCTGCGTAGCTCCGACTCCAACTGCTCCTTCGCAGCCTCCACCTCGTCCAGCTTCTCCTTGAGGTTGGCTTCGACGGTCTTCGCCATTTCTGTGGCCTGTTTGTGTGCGAGATGGTTGACGATGATCGCACGCAATAGCGCAGCACTGAGCTGGAGTGAAGCCGACTGTGTATAGACGTCTGTCAGCAGCATGACACGAGCGGAAAGACGGATGCTCACCTGATCATCGCGCTTGACGTCGGACTGGAGCCAATCCTGTAACTCTTTCTGTAGGGTGGTGACCTCCTCGAGCGAACACTTCTTGGCGGCGACCTTGGCGACCTTGTACTCGAGTCGACGAGCTTCCGCCCTCGTCTTCAGCGTGCCGGGGTTGAAGAGAAGGATATCGTCTTCATTCATACTGTCGCCGATACAGTCGTGGGCCTCGATGGTCTCACCGCGGGGGGTCGACCAGCCGCTGCCGCCAAAGTCGAGGCGGATCAAACGAATGTTGTCGCTAGTGAACGGCACGCGACAGAAAGGACAGGAAGGAGTGAGGCGCGGCGGAGATTTCTCGAGGATGTTGTTGCAGCAAGGCAGGCATAAGATGTGTCCTGGGGGAGGGGAGATGTGGATGAGTGGAGAAAATTTTCAACGCGGGGCCGGGGGACTCACCACAGGAGATAGAGTGGGGGCGATTGTGAGGACCATACTCCTCTGCGCAGACGTCGCAGAGGGAACCAGGACTAAGGGAAATCATGAGGACGGTCCTCTCTAAATCGACGAACCTGAGGGTGAGGGAAGGACATTAAGGTGAGCGGGATCCAAAAAGTGAGTCATGGTTATAAAGAAGCGAGTGGCCGGGACAGCCCTGAGTTCCCAGAAAGGCAACACCTCACAAAGCACGCGTTCCTGGCCCATGCCCTCTGCCGCGACAAGTACCCACCTGCAAGATGTTTTTCGGGTTTTCTCTGCCGCCTCCAACGACGTCAAGCTCCCCCCACCGCGCTACGGTGCCCTCTCTTCAATGGCGACTTAGCAAAGGAGGCAGTGCGCGCTTTGCATGAAAAAAAAAGTCTGTGAACGTGGGCTTAGGGTTACGGGGATATTAAACGGGGTGAAACAATTCGACGGCATACCTAGGCCAAAGGTGCACGCGAGAGAGAGGGTCCGAGAGCAGAAAAGAATGCGGCAGAAGAGGTCGAGGATGTCGGAGGGAAAAGAGAGGCGGAACAGAGTTTTTCGGAGGCGGCACGCGAAGAGACTGTACAGTTCTTCCCAGTTTGGGCATAGCCATTATGATAGGCGACAATGCTGTAACGCCGCTGAGTCAGGTTAAGTTTCTGGACGAATATATCTCCGGCGCTGCGGAGGCATTTTCTCTGGTCCTCCGCTGCGCCTTTCCCGTACGCGGGCTCGCACCTGCGCACGACGCTGCATCTGGGCGAGTCTCATACATGTCGCGCTCCTGCTGCGAATGGAGGCCCCTGCCTCGACCAGTCATTATTCTCCGGCCTCGAAACGCTGAGTGGTGTCACGGGCCGGGGCGAGCGACTTCCTGGGACCTGGAGAACACCCATTTCTTATGTCTTCGGCTACGCTGACGTACAGAATCCTATCCATCTCATCAGGCCTCGCCTCATGCCCTGTCCCTCAGTCATATATTAATCATACACGGTCGGACGAATGCTCAGGCCGCGAGAAGTTGGAACGACAGCGAGACAGTCACGACCAGCGCCGAGCTCCCAGTTCTCAGTTATTCAGATGGTCAGAGCTCTCCCCACCAAGGTCCGAGAAGGTGGTCCAGGGCGCGGAGGTGGGATGAGTAGCTGACAAATAACAAACGAGTTGCGGAGGGGCTGGTGACGAGGGGCGCAAGCGACGACCTCATCGCACATGCAAGATGGAGCTTATCGCTGCTCATCTGGGCTTGCCAATCTGGAGCCCTGAGATCCGCCGGGTAACGGTGGTCACGCGAGTCATTCAGCAAGAGTTGCAGGAGGAGCATCCGTCGGCGAGCTCCGCGCCTGCACCTGATGCCGTGATGGGCAATGCAAGCTAATTCCGAGCCCCATAGATCGGGCGCATATATCCAGGTGAAAGCGCGGATGGTGCGGCACTTTGACGGGAAGAAGTTGTCCGAGTGTAATAGTCGGTCCATAGTGCGAAATAAGGAGCGGTACACGTGTGATATGACTGCGCGTACGGAGCAGGCAGGAGGGGCCCAGGAGGGGTAACCGTATGCAGGCGGGGGAACAGAGGCGTTCGATGGTCGATGGCCGAGCCGATAACGGGGCCAGGAAGGACGGAGGATTGGCGCAAACGTGCATGACGCGGAGTACGGCCGCATCCTCCTCCTGAGAACAGCCTCTACAGTTGGTGGATGGGGCGAACGTTGGTTGCGAGTGGGGATCTCGATGTCGCCATGCTTGGAGGAGGCAGCAACAGATGAGGGACGATAGCAGGATTAGGACCGCGTTCAGGCCAGGCTAATGGATCGGAACAGACGAAGCAGGATGAGGAGATGGATGAATGAACCGCTAGGCAAAGTGCGGCCAGCTATGGGTCCGAATGGCCGAATTAGGAGGGGGCGTGGTGTGAAGAATGGGCACAGTACAGAGCGTGCAAGACAAAGGGGGGTTCCAGATACCCGCGAAGACAGTGCACACTGTATGCAGCGGGCAGGAGGGGAAGAGACACTGACGGCTGCAGTGATCGATCTCGGGCTGGCTACGTACAGATGCCCACAGTTCCGCCATCCGGCGTTCTCCAGCGTGAATTGAGCAGCCACGCTGCTGATCGATAGTGAATATACCAGCGCCTATGAATGTCGTCCACCGCCAACTTCTCTATGCACCAGACCGTCATGCACACCCATTGCTGATGCCCCGTTCCAGCGTCCCAAACATGTGCAGAGCAATATTCAATATCTATTGATGTGTTCACGACGCACCGCACCCCGAGATAAGCACACGTGTATGCCGACCGACTGCCCGCCATGATGGGTACCCATCGCAGACAGGGACGGTGCAGGTCGAGGCTGCCGTGGGTCCCTGTCATTGATGAGATAGCGTCTTGCGTCTTCATATCTCGCAGCATGCCTGATGCGCACGTTCCTAATGACGCGGCGTGGGGATCCAGGATTTGCATGAGCTCATCTCAAGCAGCGCTCTGGCGATTTCTGATTCTGAAGCTGGCGCGAGGCCCCCGACGTTGCCCGACGTGCCTCACGGCGAGTCGAGCGCGCAACAGACGCACGAGTTGGTGTGAGGTGCTTCAAGCTTCAAGAACCCAGAGTCGATGGCCGGCCTATAGCTAGCGTACGGCGAATCGGAGACGGGCCATCCGGATAGTCATCGCCGTAGGGTTAACAAAATTCCTACACATAACGGCTGCCGAGACAGCGTGCGCTGCTCCAGCCGGGCACGGTAGAGCCCAGCTCACCGGATCTGTGCACTGTATGGGCATGGGGTGTGAAGCCGCTGGAGCAGCCACTCCCGAGGGGGCGGGACAAGTAGAAGCAGAAGACCGCGCGTTTTAGAGTGTGGGGAATGCGCAGGGAAGACATTGGCCTAGAGGGTCAGATGACAAGGGGACGACATGCGGATGTGGTGCGTACGGACGGTCCCTATGGATGCCATTCACGAAGGAAATTCCGCGTCGCCATAGGAAGCGAAAACCCGGTCAACGGTAAAATTGGGCTACGTCCGCCCCAGAATTTCTCAGGCCGTTTTCGATGTGATAGAGGAATGCGCGAAGAATCAGCACACGTCCCACACTGTGGCTACGGAACAGAGACTCAAGCATCGCAACACTCAGCAAGTTATAACAACGCTCGATGCATGCGTCCGGGCCAACAGAGACGACGCGTCTTTGGTTGTAGGCCGATTGCCAGCTCGGACAAGGGAGATGGGAGTGAGTGAGGAAGGAGAAAGATGTCATTCGTCGAGGGCTCCGAGGGTTTATGTAGCACCTACAAGACCGTTCTACTACTTCACATGTCCGATCACAAGTTCATCCAGAGATGCGAGTCACCATATAAGGAAACCGCGTCATTCCTGGTCCACTAACCGCCCGCCTCGCGTCTTTACTTCAAGTTACTAGTCACTGCCTATAGTACTAGTGTGCCTCGTCCTTCGCTCTGCCTTTGAAACTCAATCCGGTGTCGAGGATAACATTAGTTATTTGGAACACCTGAATCCTCACAAAGTAACGGAACGGTCGGCGATGTTGGTTTGTACTGTCATCGGAGACAGTGGGTTACCCAGCATCCAGGCTATCCCGTCACCGTGGCTCCGATACGTCCGTTGCGGAGCATTCCAACGCCAGCGTGCGGCATTGTCTGTATGGTGTTGGGTGGACCTATCGGCGTCCTTTACGGGTAGTATATCGCTAAAGGGAAAGCGAGTAAGTGCCCGGAAAATTTGTGCGGATTATTAAGTTCGGCGAGTGCTAGTATCTTGATACGTCCAATTTTGACTGGCTGTGGAATTAGAACCTGGTCGAAAATGCATCCTTGCGGTAGTATTACTCCTCCAGATCCCACACTGTGCCCGGGGCTCGATCGCCTATCTGTCTCAACGTGTACTCTGCGGCTGAAAGTCGGCCCCAGATGCCCTCACGTTCATTCGTCCGACAAGCCTGTTTGACTGGCGCTCAAATGTCGATTTTTTCAGGAGAATTGCAAATACCACTGTCTGCCTTGCTACTGTGCATAGCCACGATCGTGTACCACCACAAGCGGTGATTCCTGCTGCGCCTCGGTCGCTTTGGAGCCCATATGTTACGCAGCGCCGTACTTCTGACGCCATCGACAGGGGAACAAGAGCTGA